AGAGAAACGAAACTTTGCACACATCTTCCTGAATACCTAGCCGAGGTTGCGTCCAAATTTGGTGTCGATCCCATTTGAAATGACGTCACAGTGACGTCATAAGTGAAATTATAGATTTGCGACTCTCATATTCCTCACGATACATCAGACATATGGGACCGAATATAAAGGGCCGATTATTGGTCAGAAACTAGATGGAAGTGTAGTAATATATTTTAGGATGACAGCAGGTGCTGTCTAGTTCATTTACAGTCGAGTTTCATGCTCAGCGTCATCAGAAACGGTCCATATCGGAAAACGACAAAACTTTATGACGTCACTGTGACGTCATCTTAGGTGCTACAAACACCAAACTTTTTTCAAACATTGCCTAGGTATTCATTTGAAGCTATGCCAAGTTTCACGTTCGTAGCTCATCGGGTTTCGGAGATATTTCACAAAACGTAAAGGGGGGGGGGCAACTTTATGCCCCCCCCCCAGCGGCTCGTGGGTTAACCCTCGCCGGCACAGGCCATTTTGCGTCCTTCGACGGCACAAGGGGGGTTGGTACGACCCCCCTCGCGTTTGGCCCCTGATCGAGCTAGAGCTTCGCGGAAAAAACGAGCGTGTTGCCCGTCACGAGAGGAAGCCGATGATACCCGATTTTAAGGTCCTAAGTCATCGGGTGACCTTCCAGGTCAGGTCAATGACCCAAAAACCGGGAAAATCGGGACCTGTTAGAAAGTCGTAAAGTGTGGCTGCTATGAGGTTTTCCGGGGTGCTGATCACGAATATCGTATTAGTTTTGATCAGAGATGATGTCTTTAAGCATTTAGACCAGGTCGGGTCAGGTCAACCGGTAGGGGTTGTGACGGGTATTCGTAATACGTGTCAACCGCCTCTGACAGCTTCGTAACATGTTACGAAGGCACCAAAACTACTTCGTAAATGTTCAAATGGTTGCTAAATTCGAATTCAGCTCCAAAAACTAGCCTAGAAGCATGTAAAACTCGAAAAAGTGAACCGAGGTCACCCGAGGTCACCAAAGGTCAATAACCTGACCTGACCTTCAGCTGACCTTGAAACCCACCCTAATGTATGAAAGCAACATCAAATCACATGTTTGAACGTTTGAAACCACGAAAAGCTTGCAAACGCGCGGCTAATGCGAGCCGACATACGCCGAATCGCGATTCCGGCCAAACATGGTCTCGGAAAAGAGGTCACAGGTCAAAGGTCATTTGGGTCAGGGTAAAACAAATCAGGGTAAGTGTAAAGTTGATTAATGCGAGGGTACTGAAAGTTTCGTTGCGATCGGCCGCTTTTTACGCGAGTTATTCGCGAAAAACCTTAGGGGGGTTGTATCAACCCCCTGTGCCGGCGAGGGTTAAAATTGGGTATCATCGGCCTCCTCTTGTCACGGGCAATACGCTCTTTTTCCGCGAAGCTCTAGCTCGATTAGGGGCTGAACGGCAAAGGGGTCCAACGGACCCTCCTCCCCCTCTTTACGATAGACGCTGGCAAAACACCAATATGGGCGAGGGTGAAAATACAGCTGCTGTCATAAAAATTCAGCTTGAATCAAAGGTCAGGCTTGCCAAATTTCAGCTCTCGCAGCTATCAACAAAAATAAACATGTGGAAGCGGCAACCGCCTCCCCCCCCCTCTCCTCTCGGCCACTGCCAGCTAGGTTTTAAGCGTATCATACACGTTACAAAGCATCATATCAAGAGGACACGCCCCAGCAGTCATATGCACTGAACACAAACTTATTACCCACGCTAGTGTATCGGCACCATAGCACATGGTCGAGACTGTCGTCAGCCACGGACTCGCACTCGACCAACCCTCTGAGCCCGTTGACTGCGGGTGACCTTGACATGTCAAGCCTGATCGGCGGCCGGCCGCTGTCGTGCGGTCGTTACACACGGAGGGGAGGGAGACACAAAGCTCTACGTTAAAGCTGACCTCTGACCTTTCCCTGCGCCCTGGTCACTGACCCCGCTCCATGTCGCTGGGCGGTGGCATGGCGGTGGAAACCGGTTCTAGCCTCTACACATGCCACCATTCTAACCCTCCCCTCCCCACGCTACTACGCTGCGTGGAGTACGCTCGTGCGTAACTGGGCGGAGCAAGGGGTCACGCGATACAGGGGCGGAACTGGTTGCCCTCCCGCTCGCCGAGCGACCAACGACTAATACCCTGGAGAACCGTACTTGACGCCATCAGCTGCAATCAAACCGCTGTTTAACCCTATTCCTGGCGGGGGGGGGGCCTCAGGAGCCCCCCCTGAGGTTTTTTGGTTATTTCTCCCAAACGCGTTGAGCTAGGAAGCTCAAATTTTCTGACTTTTCCTAAAAGGCTTCTACGCAACATGTCTGAAAATTTTGAGTTGATCTGACCTCAGGTCAGGTCACCAGAGGCGGTTTGGTGACCCTACCTCAGAAAAGTTTGCAATCACGCCAGAGCTAGAGTTTTTGACCGATCAATTTCTTCTCTTCAGGCTTTAGTAAGGGTACCAGTATGTGCAATTTGTATATCTCGGAATTTTGATATCGGTGACCTAAGGTCAGGTCAGTTTCGCGACCTCCCCATTATAAGTCAATGGGGGAAAAATCAACTCCCTGTTTTTACCACTAAAACGGGTCGGAATGGCCCCACATACCATACATGACTTCATATACGATCAACCTTCACTACCTTGAGGTCTGTTTTGCTGTTGGGCAGCTGTGAGGTCATGTGACGTCATCAAAGGTCACCAAAGGTTTTTGGCCAATAACTCCGTACAGGAACAAGATACAGACGCGTGGATGGTCTCATTGTGTTCAGCTCGTCAAGACGCATCAATGATATACATGATGACCTCGAGGTCACGTGACCTGAGGTCAACCTTTGACCTTGACCTTTCGAGGTCAACATATATATCATTCGATGCGGATTGACGAGAGGATCACGATGATGCCCTTAGTTTGTTCCTATCTTGACTAATTCGAAAGTTATTCGAGAAAAACTCTCTCCATATCTAGCGTCGCCATTTTGACTTTTTCGACCCCTGTGACGTCATCTTTGACCTGACCTGAAAATGACCTTAGTAAAAATTGTAGATCTTGACCGTGCGTATCCGATGCCGTTTACCGTTTGTCGCTGCGATGTGTAGTTTTTTATATCTGAAGGGGGGGCCGAATCGCCCCCCCCCCCCCCCCGCCAGTTTCTTGTCCCGGCGGAGCCCGCCGGGAATAGGGTTAAAGGAAATAGTTCACTTTTAACATGGGGTTTGGAACTGGAATAGCAGTTTTGTTGCTTGCGCTGAGACTAGCACAAATCAGAAGCTTTTACGGCCCAACGGTCACCCTAGACGAAGAGATTCCATTTTTCGTTCCGAAAAGAATGCCTTGCAGAGGAATGCGTGCCTTGCTGAGGAATGCAGTCACGTCATCGTCAGCCAATCAGAATGCTGCTTACAGCCGATGGGTTTGTCCTACGCAATATGATTGGCCAACGCGTAATAAGCTTCCGCTTCAAACATTATTTTATATAGAATATAGTTCTTCTTATACTAAAATATAGAAAATAATCCTTTTTACAAAAACGTTTTGTTTTATTTTCTGATCATTTTGAGCATAAAAAACATAAATCCATAGCAAAATACTAATTTCAGGAAAGTGAACTATTTCCTTTAACAATGCATGCAGAGTGACATTTTCGCGTTGTTTCTTGAATCTTGATGAAGCCTCGTTTCTCATGTTTTTCTCCGAACACTCGATTCTACCGTGCTGGTGGTTTTAAGCCATCACCTCCACTACGCAGTTGGTTGGGTCTACACTACAGCGTTCCACGTCATGGCTGATCCGAGGTGAAGTGATTTTTCTTTACAATGTGGCCTTCAGTAGAGCCTAAATGGCTTTATACGAGCGATGCGGTTCCATTTAACTAACAACGCGGCAAAAGCCTGACATACTGCGACGATCTACCATCACCTTTTCAGCCCTAACAAACAAGCATGCAAACAAATTCCGTCACCTGGGCGTGCGCGTCACGTGCCAACTGCCAGGTCTGTGGCCGCCTCCTGTGGCACGTGCCCGGTAGCGGGCCCGGCTTTTCGACCGTTACAATCGTCACGCCGTCTCGAGGCGTCCGAGCTTGGCGCGTCCGTCATGCCTACTGGAGCGATTTCCCGCTGACGGTGTGAGCGTTTTGGCTAGTGAGCGCGGTTGCAGCTGCTCTGATTTCCGGCTGGTCCACGCCCGGCGATACAACGACAGCGCTGTAGTTCTGTTCCGTCCAACAACGACGCAGTTAGCAACAGGTTTTGCTGCACGGGCCGGCGTTTTGGCGAATGGCTGCAGCTGCCCTACTCGGCGCTCCGTTTATCGGTGCGCAGTTTCACGGTTTGACGCCGATGGCTGCTGAATGTGAGTCGCGGTGTTCCCCGTGACCCGCGCCCGGTCCGGCGCGGAGTGCGCTGCGGGAACGGGGCTGGCTCGCTGTCGCGGTGACGGCGGGTGGCGGCGGAGGCAGACCTGACATTTCGGTCGCCGGCTCCTGCCGGGCAGCGCGGGTAGACAGGAGAGTTGAACGGCAGGGTTGAGGGGCGATTTCCCAGTGCTGCACGGACAGACGTACGGCCGGGAACGATGTGAATTGATGGCTTGATGAAATAGCATAATGTCAATGGCTCGACAAGTGCTTGGGTTTAGGATTGGACGCACAATTCGATTATATTTCAGCGAGCTAGTGCAGGATGACATCAAGAAGTAGTTTCATCAGATAGCCTTGAAACTGTTGGTCACAAAGTAAACCTCGGCTGCCTCTGGACCAGTCGGTAGCCGTTTTGTTAGATCTGTTTGCATACGATGTTATGTTTGCTATTTATAGTCACCGTGATGTTAACGGCTGGACGCCACGTGTCCTTGCTGTTATTCAAAGTTGGGGAATACCTGCTTTCATTCTCCAGAAGCCTGCCGGGCAGTGAGCGAGTGGTACCCATTGAGCTGACGCCGCCACCTGCTGGTTTGTTTCAGACCGAGCACAAGCTGCCCTGCCTGTACCTGATGGACTCCATCCTGAAGAACGTCGGCAAGCAGTACGTGCAGCTGTTCACCCAGAACATTGTGTCGACGTTCGCCGGCGTGTTCGAGAAGGTAACATGAGCGGCTGCGGCGCCTCCACCCGCCCCGGTCACATCTGCTCGCTCCTCTTGCAGCAGCGACACGGCCGCGGCGGCGGCGGCGGCGGCGGCGGAACACGGCAGCGGCGCTGGACACACCACGCCGGCGGCCGGCGCTCGTCAGGTGAGGGGAACAGACACCGCCGGCCGAGACACCCCGTCCTCCCTGACGCTCCTTTCCATGGACCGTTTCCAGAAGCGTCAAAAATTGTTTGAATTTCCACACCTGACATTTTTTCTTTCCATCGTTCCTTTCCGCTTCCTTTTAATGCGTCCTCATCTATCTATGCTATTTTATTCTTCCTTGCGTCTTGTTTTTCCTACTTAGCACGATATTAACCTTATGCTTCTCTTGTCTTTTTGTCGACACATCGCCTTTGTTTTCTGTCCCGTCACATCTTTAGCCTAGTTTTTAACTAACGTCGGCCAGACTAAATTGTTCGTCAATAACATGGTCTTTTGATTGTTTTGCTATTTGTGATGTAGCATTACATTGCAGCGTCTGTAATCCATAGTCATTATCTTCGCCTAATTGCATGACTTACGAAAGATTTCAAATGGTTCGACTACTCGTTGCCAGCCAGTTCACTGAACGCACATCTACCGCTTGTCGTGTGCACCCATTTTCTGACAGTTGTTTTCCTCCCACAGGTGACGATAATGCCTCCGGCCGCCGCACGGCCCGCTCTGCCGTGGGTGTGTGACGTCACAGCCAGCCCAGAGTGTGACGTCACCGTGTCTAGCGCCGTGCCGAGCCGAGCCGAGCCGAGCTGACCGGTGCCGGCCGGCCGCCGCCCGCCGCGGACCGTACTTACCACCGACCGCCGGCCGCAGAGCCCGCCTGGGCCACTGTCATACTGCAGTGTGTTACAATAATAAAACAGTCCCTCCAGTGTCCGCAGTTTCGTTCGCCTGTGACAATTACACGCACGAACGAAACGCATGGAGCGCCGGTCGCATCAGGGTCCCCCGGAACTGGGGCGGCGTCCGGCACCGGGGGCGTGACCTTGGGCGCCGGGGGAGGGTAGACGGCCCGCGACGGTGGGCCCGGTCTGGACCTGCAGGATGCCGCGAGCCCGCGAATTGGGCAGTCACAGCGCAACTGGCGTGGACTGGCGTGGCGCAACAGCACATCAGACTAGTTATTCCTGTAGTTTGGACGGAGCTATACGCAAAATTTCTGCTTCGCACTGGACATCAAAAACAGTTTACTACCCAAACTAACTGGGGAAACGGGCTGCAAGCATTCCACACGAATGTTTAACCATAGTTAGAAAGAGCTTCGTCGTTCGTAGAGATGAAAGAGTTCAACCTGCACCGCTTTTTTTAATTGTTGGACGCAAAACATTTGTACCTAATACATAGCAGCTGCTCGATGTGAAGCCTGCAAGAAAGGTCGAAGATCTTACGCGCCAAACCGGTTCGGCAGCACGGGCTCGCTGCCCCGCCCGCCTTCCCATTCGTCACAGCTCGTTCACCGTTAGTTTGCAGTTGGCACACGGAAGCAGCGGCAGTGCACAAACAATGTAGTCGCTTACTTTGCACTACGTAGATACATTATACTAGCGACACAATGCGGGGCAGGCACTGTTCACAGCGGAATCGTTGCGTTTGCAGCAAGAGATTAGTTATTAGTGATAATAAGGCTGACCAGTTCAACACAAGACAGCTGACCTCTTTCCTTCACAGGATGTTTCACTCTCCGAGACTTGTTTGCGTTCGAGAAATTCCCTGGTTCTACACCGGTTGAGTCTGTGAATATGTACGGAAATGGCGCGTTTATTTCTTACGATGGTGTTGTGCCGTGATGTTGCCCTCGTAGGTAATCTGCACCAGGCCACATAATCAGTTTTTCGGAGGCGCCCTGTGACCCCGTGTCGGGGGCGCCCTGTGACCCCGTGTCGTCCTGTGACCCCGCGTCGTCGGGGGCGGCCTGTGATCCCGTAACTGATGTACCGAGTGGCCCGCGGTCTGATGGACGTATCGTTGCGGCAGCTACTTACCCGGGGAGGCGGCGCACAGGACATTAGCAATGGACAGAGCCCCTCGGCGATCCTTGGAGTTGATTTGACCCGGCGCTGAGGCTGGTTGGGTGGTCTCCGTAGTGGCAGAGACCCACACCCGTGGTGGCAGAGATCCACACCCGTGGTGGCAGGGATCCACACCCGTGGTGGCAGAGATCCACACCCGTGGTGGCGCTCCGGGGCTGAGCTCTTCGGTGGGTCGGGGGAATTCTGGAGTAACGGCTGATGCGGGGCCCGTCCTAGGGTCTCCCCGGGATTTGTCATTTCTTGGAGTGACCCTCGCGGGTGGGGCCGTCCTAGAATCTCCCCGGGGCCCGTCCCAGGTTTTCCCCGGTCCCGTACTAGGTTCTCCCCAGGCCCGTCCTGAGCTCCCCCCGGGTTAGGCAGAGACCCGGGACGGGCCGCGGGTAGTGGGCCAGATTGAGCCACGAAGGTATGCAGAGGGTCTGCCGCCTGCCCTTGAGGTGGGCGGCTCACCCAACCTGGATATGGGGTTGGGTGGGTGAGGATGGTGCAAGTTCTGGTATTCGGTGGAGGCCATGAGAGGTGTCATCTCATATTACCGTGACTATTATTAGCTGATTATGGGGGAGAAACGAGTCGCAAAGTGGCTTGGTGACACGGTTTTTACACGGGCATTGCTTAGAAGTGGTGACCCGTGAAGTGTAGGGGATAGTCATGGGCCCGCGCCGGTTTCTGACCCCTGTGGGGAGGGGTGAGCGGGCTGTGAACCTCCTCTGCCCGGGGCTGTGACCCGTGTTGGTAGGGGAGGGGGTGAGCGGGGCTGTGACCCGTCTATGGGGAGGGGGTGAGCGGGGCTGTGACCCGACTGTGCCCCTGCAGGTGGACGAAAAGGTGCGCTCCTCCATGTTCCGTCTGCGCCAGACGTGGTCCGGCGTGTTTCCCGCCAAGAAGCTGTACGCCATCGACCTGCGAGTCAACAGTATCGACCCGGCGTGGCCCATCATGAGCGCCGGCAGCAAGAGCAGCACCATCCACATCAACCCCAAAGTGTTCAAAAAGGTACGCGCCCGCGCACACGTCAGATTCCTGAGTCTGATCCTCACGGACACGGTGTAGTCGACTGGTTTACGGTTTATGTCTCTGCGCGATATCACGAGGGTTATTGTGGATTGCCATAGTGTGTGCGGTGATAGGCCTCGTTGGAGCTGAGTTATCGTCAGAAGTGACGATGTTCGGCGGTCCCGTCACACTATCTGAGTATGACTGACTGTGACTGACCGGCCGTCCGGTGTCACAGGGGACGGTGCCGGGGTTGTCCGGGGCCGTCTGTGTGACTGACTGACCGTCCCCTGTCCTGGGGGACGGTGCCGGGGTTGTCCGGGACCCGTCTGTGTGACTGACTGACTAACCGTTCCCTGTCATGGGGGATTGTGCCGGGGTTGTCCGGGGCCCGTCTGTGTCTCTCTGACTGACTGACCGGCCGTCCGGTGTCACAGGGGACGGTGCTGGTGGTAGGCCGGTCTAAGTGACTGACCGTTCCCTGTCACAGGGGACGATGCCGGGGTTGTCCGGGGCCGTCTGTGTGACTGATTGACCGTTTGCTGTCACAGGGGACGGTGCCGGGGTTGTCCGGGGCCGTCTGTGTGACTGACTGACTGACTGTTCCTGTCCCATGGGACGGTGTCGGTGGTGCCTGAGGTCCCGTCTGTGTGGCTGATTTTAACGGACTTCTCTGTCCCAGAAGACGGTGCCGGTGGTGCCGGAGACCCCGGCGGCTCCCGCCCCACCGCCCGCCCCTCCGGCCCCAGCGCCGGCCGCCTCCACGCTGGACCTCATCACGGAGAAGCAGATGGAGCTGCTGAACCTGCAGATCCAGAAGGTGGAATTAGAGCTGCAGTGCGCCGCCACGCCGGCCGAACAGCTCGCCAAGAAAAAGGAGCTGCTGGAGCTGCGCACAGAGAAGGCACAGCTCGAGCTGCAGCAGGCCACCAACAAACTCAAAAGCAAGGTATGTGCTCGACAGACTGGATCGGATACTTCCGTTATGATGTGATGAGTTGTGGAATATCGTTTTTTTTTCTTGTCGTTTCGTGGCTCGACACGGAACCGTTATCATTTGCCGGTCTGCTTGCTCTACCGCCGGCAGTCAGGTCGGACGCCAAATGCTCAAACATTGACACTACACTATTTGTCTAATGACGCCAGGCCAAATATCTGTATCCTGTGTGGTCAGTGAGTCATTGCCTCACTGATCCCGCCGTCTGCGGACTGTGACTCTCCCTCCCTGACCCGCGCCCCTCCGTTTCAGGCGGCGGCAGCGGCGTCCACCACATCCACCAGCACCTCCTCCAAGGTACAGAGCAGGGCAGACCGAGGGAGTGGGTCACGAGACAGAGTGTAGAGTGTCCGCCAGGGCTCGGCTCGCGGGGTAGAGCGTACGGCCACCAGCGAAAACTGAGCCGTAAATTAGCGCGATTAACAACCTCCTGCGGGCAACGGTGCAGTTGTTTGATCAGTTACGTATAGCTGCTGGCAAATGATACTCTGTCATTATTATCACAGTCTGGTCCCCAGTGCCGGGCGCAATCTCCCCTCCCATCTCCCCCTCCGGCGGTGCCTCCGCCACTCCTGTTGTGATGGGCAGCCGAATCCCGGCCCGCCGGCCCGCGCCGTACAGCTGTGTGTACTGTGTAGTGGGGACGGGCGCCTGCCGTGCACGGCTGCACACACTGCCTGCCGCGCGCGGCGGGGGATCGATAGGACACGCTGCGCCGATGTTAGTCAGGTCCCCGGCTGTACCTAACTAGTGCATACACGCAGTGGCAGCACCGCTCGCTATTGAACGCCATACACAGCATTATAGACAGCTGGGCTACGGAATGGAAACGCAGAGCAACTGTGGAGCCATTCATAGAAGCTTCCTGAAGGCTTTTAGCGTATGTTCTTTGCACGGCCGTTTCATCAGTAGTAGTGCTAGTATCGTTGCTGCTTCCATCACACAAATCAGCGTCACTTATCTTATCGCCAGCCTCCTGTTGGCATCTTATGCCTATTTAGCCTAGATAGCAGATGAAAATTGCGTCATTGGGATTTTCGGGAACGAAATGTTGGTAGCGGTGACAAACATACAGTCTTTTGCACACATGCAGTCATATCCACCAGTGCAGCCGTCACTGAACGGCTCAACTCACAGAGTTAGATAATGGATGACGAAGGGCCCTTTGCCACTCTCTGGACCTCACTGGCCTCCGTGTGTCTGTTGACAGACCAAGTCGGCGGCCGTGTTCACCACAGCGACGAGCAGCACTGCGCCCGCTCAGGTGGGCGCTCAGGGGACAGTACAACGTGCCGCTGTCTGTGACTAGGGCGCGGAGGGATGCTAATAATCGCTGGACGGGAGGGGGGGGGGGGCATTAGCTCGCGTCTGATGTAGTGGATAGATAATCATAGGAATGCTAGGAGGGTTGCAGAGTTGGTCATGTACTAATTACATGTGTTCCGGGGAGTATGCCTGTGATAGTGTACGCAGCTAACGCGAGGTATGCGGTTGGTCTGGTCCCGTGGTTGTCCTGTGGAAGTTCCGATAGTAGCTGAGCGGCTGCGGCACTAAAAGACATACACCGCCAGTCTTGTTCCGGTCCCGGCTGAGCACACACCGGTACCCTCTGACTATCTGTGTGTGCTCAGAGGGCAGTAGACGCCCTGTCCGGCTAGGGGTAGGGCTCGCCGTCTACGTCCAGTCCCGGCCGCGCCGGCCGCCGTCTGTGCCTGGTCAGGGGTAGAGTACACCGTCTGTGTCTGGTCAGGGGTAGAGTACACCGTCTGTGCCCTGTCCGGGCCGCTCCGGCCGCCGTCTGTGTCTGGTCAGGGGTAGTGGCCGCCGTCTGTGCCCTGTCCGGGCCGCTCCGGCCGCCGTCTCTGACCGCCGTCGTTGCAGCCGCCGCCGGCGCCGGCCGCTGCCGAGGAGGAGGAGGCCCCCTCGCCGCCGCCTCCGGTGGCCGCCCGACCGGCGCGCGCCCACCACTCGTCCCGGCACAAGGCCAAGGTGCAGCGCCGACCGCGCCGCCCGCTGGTGACGGTGGTGCCGGGTGGTGCTGGGAGGGAGGGGAGCACTAACCAGACAGTGTGTCCGCGGGTCGACCAGTCGGTGTCTCCTGCACTCTACAGCCGCTGGCGCCCCGGCTCCTCTCAGGCTTTATGCTATACTCTGTACTTTATATCGCACTGCCATGCCGGTACTTATATGTTGCTTTCTCTGGTGTGCCCTGTAACTATGCGCCACGGAACCCTCCCTGCCTGTTCATCAGTGTCCTGCCGTTAGCAGACGGTCTTTCGGAGCTCCCTTGCACGTTGTCAATGTCAGTTTTCTCCGGTAGCCTCTCATCTGATGGTGCACAGCGAATCTCCGTAGTGGAAAGGAAATTGAATTTGCGGGATCTCGACGGTCATCCATTATCGTTTTTTTTTTCTCATTTCGCTCACTTCGTTACAGACGGAACGAAATTTATCGTTGATAATCGGCATATTTCACTTTCACTGGTTTCTTCTCGTGATAATCGTCCATGGCTTTGGCAGTGTTTCGCTTCCCTAGATTTCAGGCAGTCGGAGCAGCTCGCGGTCCTGTCGTAACTACAGCGTCTATGCTGCCGCGTCATCCCGTCCCGACTTAACTCGCTCTACGAGCGTGCTGCCTTTCGTCCGTCCTGTCCAGTCGTCCCTGGCTCCAGTGCGCTGCTCGCCAATATCTGGTCACTGCATGCATGCTGTTGATCGCCGGTTCGGGGGATGTTGGTCGGATAAAGCGGTCATCGGGCATCTTTGGTGGCTTTGTGGATAATGCTGGCCGGTTGTTTGTGTTTGTGTGCTTGTTTGTGGGGATACTCTCATTGTCGGATCACAAGCGGGTCTAATAGATAATTTTCCCTACTCCAATACTGTTTGTGTTTTTCCGGTATCCGTTAAAGCGCCCCATATCTGCCTTCGTCATGGCTAGCGATCTCGGATGTCAACATGTTTGTCGAAGGATCGCATAAGCTGGTAAAAGTATTTTTTCTGTTTGGCGATATGAGAGTGTTCTACAGTAAGTCATTGCCCCCAACTCCAGTCTGAAGCCATTGGAGTCTTTCTTTCGACCGCAGTGGTACTGACCGCTGGCTCCGTGTGTTCACAGTCCAAGATGGCGATACGGCCGGCTCAGCTGGGCACCGCGCACAGCGGCGACCCGCGCTCGGGCGCCCGCGCCGACCCCAGGACGGCCGCCCAGCCAGAGTCGCGGCCCGACCCCAGGGCAGAGCCGAGGGCCGACCCGCGGGCGGAGGCGCGGGCGGACCCGCGACAGGCGGCCACCCGCGACCCGCGGCTCAACCGGACCGCCCCCGCCCCCGCTCCAGCCCCCGTCTCCGCCCCGGCGCCGGCTCCCGCGCCGTCCGCGCCTGTGGCGCCGCCGCCGCCGATAATCCGCTCATCTACCTCCACCTCCTCTGCGTCCCTGCGCCGGAGCTCGCCAGCCACCGCGGGCTCGGCCTCCCAGCAGAGCGGCGCCGCCGCCGACGGCCGGGAGCGGAGCTCCGCGCGCGGCTCCTCCGAGGCCGCCAAGGGCAGCAGCCGCTCCGCCAAGAGCAGCAGCTCAAAGTCCACCAAGTCGTCCAGCTCGTCGTCTTCCAGCAGCAGCAAGTCCAGGGACTCGCCGAAGCAGCCCAAACTGTCGCCCGAGAGTGCCAAGGAAAAGAGCTCGCCCAAGTCGTCGTCAAAGTCGGCCGAGTCGCCGCGCAAGAAGCAGCCCCCTGAGTCGCCCAAGCGGAAGGCGACCAGTGACTCGCCGCGGCGGAAGACGGCCGATCCAGTGAAGCGGAAGGCGACCGAGTCGCCGCGCCGCCGGCCGACCGACTCGCCCAAACGGCGGCACACGGAGACGCCGGTCGAGTCGCGCTCGACGGCCGTCGACGCCGAGGACGAGGCGTCGCTGCTCTCCGACGGGAGCCTGTCTGAGGGCGACGCGCCCAGCCCGGCCGTGTTCCGGCGCGTGAAAAAGTCGCGCAGCCGGCACTACAAGCAGCCGAGCGCGTGGAGTCCCAGCCCCGAGCGGACGGCGCAGGACACGGACCTTCGGGCTCAGCTGGGCGGTCCGCGGCCCGCGCCCGCCACCCCGCCGCCGGCCAAACGACGTGAGTGCAGCCCGCCGAGGGAGCGGCGAGTCTGTTTGGGTGTGGTGTGGGAAATACGGCTGGGATAGAGTCTAGAGATTTGTCTGGTGTGCCCATACTCTGCTTAGTCAGCATTGTGTTTTGGTAACAGGTTTGCGTTAACTATTGTTATATTTTGTCACTGTGATCAGCATGTCCCTCATATTGCGGTCGCCTCCCGGCTGTAAGTCGCCGGTCCCCTCTGACACCCCGCCCCGGCTCCGTTTTTTTCAGGTCGGACGTCCGACTCTGACGACACAGAGAAGGAGAACGTCAGTGACGTCGACCTGCGGCAGCTGCCCGGCCAGAAGGCGCCATCCACCGACGCAGGCGCGGCAGACGCCAAAAAGGCCGGCCTCCAAGAGTGAGTACCGAGTACCGTCAACAGCCGAAGGGGAAGGGGCACAATACAAATGGGGAAGTAACCCGTCGTTCCATCAATGGGGATTGGACTGTGAATGAAGTCTCGATCACTTTGCTTTCAATAAGTTTTCATAAATCTGATGAAATTTTAACTGACTAAATATGTGAGTGCCAGCTAAATCGCTGCCGTTATTGGTTCGTAGCTAGCCGCCCTCTTTTAGCTCCGGTACCGGGTTGATCGGATCATGCCTGTTCTGATTTCACAGCTGTGGAAGGCAGGGAAGGGTGGGGAGGGTGGCGTAGGGGAAACATGTGTTGCAAATCACACGCCACTTGTGGAGAGCCCGTTATCGGTATTTCTGCCTATTCGTCGAAACGAGATATCTCGGTCATGACTTTGAAACGTTTCGTTTATTTTGTAGATGTGCTCTTATAATGTGAAAATGTAGTGTAAATGAAGCATCTCAGGGAGTCCTTGACTTTTTCGATATTGAAAGGATTTACCGATGCCATCTGCCACGCGCGATTGTCGCACTCGCCGCTGATCTCTGACCTCCATCCCTCATCGCGGCAGTCTGTTCGGCTCGGAGGACACGGACCTGCGTTTCGTCGAGCCGGCCTCTGGCGGCACGGGCGGCTGGCGCCAGCTGAAGGAGGCTCGTCCGGAGACGTTCAAGTCGCCGCTGCGGGCGCGCGGTGCTCAGCACTCGGCGCCGCCGCACTCGGGTAAGTCGCTGGCGTCCTACAGGATCCCCCGGCGCTCTGCCGCGGCCTCCTCCGCCGCTCCGGCCGCCGCTGAGCCGTCCGAGGCGGCCGCGCCGTCCCCGCCTCCGGCCCGGAGTCCGGAGCGCCCGCCGTCCGCCGCCGAGTCTCCGGCGGAGCGGCGGCCACCTTCTCCGGCCGGCCCGGACCCGCCGCGGCCGCGGTCTCCGGCCGAGCCGTCCGGCTGGCGGCCCCTGACCGCCGACCTGCCGGCCGACCCGCCGTCCGCCGCCGCCGGCCCCCGCCCAGGTGAGCGCCCCGCCGCGCCGTGCCGCGCTGCGCCGCGCCGCGCGCTCTCTGTCGGTGCTGGAGCCGCGGGCAGGCGGCTGACACTCTGTGGGGCGCGGGCTAACCCTGGTGGCTGGGGCGGTGTGAATGGACCGGTGACGCACAGTGAACATTTGGCTGCACTTGGTGTGAATTAACGGCCTGGACTGTGATAAAATGGAGCCGGGACTATTATCTGCATATATCTCATCTATTTTGATTTGTCGCGGAGGATGGATATTCGAGACAGGCATCGTTGCTCTGTCATCCAGTTGGATGTGGTTAGGGCTAACTGTCAACTTCTAGTGCTTCGGCTACTTGCGAATTCTCCGAACTCTCCGAATCTCCGTCCAATACGTGCGAATGGGACGTCGCGATGTCCATGTTTAGACTAAATGTCGCTGTCGGACAAATTGATATCATGTGTCGGTCCATCGGAGAACCTGAACGGGATGAAGCTCAGGACCTGGACGAATCCATCAGATAAATGTGTATCCTGTCTCCTAAATCGCAGAGTGTTAAGCTGCTAAAAACTCGCGTCATCCATAGAAATAATCTGTTAGGCTAATCGGATTCGGGACTTTTCGTCAGAGGCTGTCGTTCTGGGAGCGCCGACTAAAATGTCACTTTGTAGGGCTATTGAAACGCTTGCATACCATGTAACGCCGCGGCGGGGATGTCGCGTCTCAGTGACGCCAACGGTTCGTGGTCCTTGGCTTAGGGCTGGTAGTCGCGAGGCTCAAGCGTTCAATGGAGCTGTGAAAGTCTGATAGTTACATTCTGGAAGCATAATATTCTGAGCTCAGTCTTGACTGCCTGTTGATCTGGATATCTGCCTTATTTGGCCTGCCAATAGCCAGTTGTATTCGGTGTGTAGGCGTCAGTCTATGGCGGTGGCGGAGGTCGATGGCTGCGTGGCTGCACCTGAGTGGGAGACATAAGTGTGATACATGTCAGTTTCTGCCAAGGTGTTCGGTACTTTCACTCGGTCGTGCTTTATACTGACCTGCCTATGCCTATACTGTACCATGGCTTTGGTATCGGGCTACCCTCACACAATGTGTTTTTGCAGGTCCTACATGGGTTTGGCAAGGTCAGATTTATGCTCTCACTGGTTTCCGTTGTATATTTGTTGCATGATTATCTGGGAAATGGAAGCACGTCTGTCGCATACCTAAATGATTGTGTGAATATTTTATGAAGTATGCTCACTTTACGTTTGCGATGTTGATTTATTTTGTTGGGTCCTACGTGATCTCGTCTCCCTGTTGTTCGGTCTTGTTTTTGAAGCTGACTTGCAAAAGTTCAACCTGCTGTCACGTAATGATGTTGGTCGCATTATTTCAGCCTTGTAACTTAATTAAGTTCCCTCGCCTGTTTAAAACCAACCTGGCTTTACGATGTTGATAACATTAAAATACAGATAGAAGACAACATGTAGAGGCGCACTATGCAGTCTATGCGCGGTGTTCAGTGCCCCATCTAGCCTGTCCGGCGTTGTCTCACCTCCGCCTCGCCGCCGCTCAGGGACCGATGTGGACCTGCGCGTGCCGCCGGGCCGGCCGGCGCTGCTGTCGGCGCCCCCTCCGCCGCCGGCGGGCCGCCACCTGGACCTGGACGGCGAGCTGCGCGCCCTCGAGGAGTCCCAGGAGGCCACCCAGAAGAACATCACCATGATCCTATCGCAGGCCGAGGAGCAGCTCAAGTCGGGGAACATCTCCATCGAGCAGTACAACAACATATTACAGCAGGTGGGCGCCGCTCTGTATCTATAATACCGCTCAGTGACGTACCCCGTGCGGGGGCCGTTTGATCAACTTTATCTGACGCTTGTTGAAGTTCATGGTTTGTTATGCCAGTGGAGTACCTCGGCTATTCTGTCGGCTATCTGTTCAAATTAAAATCGGATTAATATTCACTGCGGCGCTGGGTATAAGTATGCGTGGACTATTTCATATGACCTTCCTTAAAGCTCTTTAAGCTTTCTTAAAGTTTCCTTAAATCTTCTCAAAGCAGAGTGCTCATCCTCTGGTACCACCCGCCGTTTAGGTGATCCAGCTGGACGAGCGTCAGAAGATCCAGGAGCGCCGCACGCTGGAGCGCCGCCAGAGCATGTCTGAGCGCAGCGGCAGCCGGCACGAGAGCGTCTCCTCGGCGGGCAGCGCCGCCGACATGGACGAGCGGGAGCGGTCCAGGGGTGAGTGGTGGGGAGAGGCGGCGGACCTAACTGGCATACTCTGACCACTGAAGTGAACTGATTAGTTTGGGATGGAATTAATTGCTTATTAATTGTTTACGGCTAAATCGCTCGTAGCTCATCGTCCCGTTCATCACGTGAGATTTATCCCCTTTTATCGTTTGAATCCCTGTCTGGTGCTCAGTTGAGACCCTCTCCTCCCCTTCTCTCGGCAGGTGACCCCGGCGGCAGCGACGTGCCGATGCGCGTCTGGGACGACCCGGTGCCGGGCGGCGGCTGGCGGCGGCCGGCCGAGCCGCGCGGCGGCCTCCTGCCGCTACCGCACCCCAGTATGTCTGGCCGCGCGCCGCCTGGCGGCTACCCGGGCCCGCCGGACGACTACCTGGACCAGGACCACCGGCTGCACGGCGGGTCAGTGGCGGCCGCCGCACCGCAGCGGCGGCTCCGGCTGGGCTCCGCCCCGGGCTAAACTCGGCCAAAGATGAATGGACTCAGTCTGAGCTTCAACGTCAACGTCTGAGCGTCAAATCATAGTATTGCGTGCTGTAGCGTGCAGCTGCTTGGACGGACGAATTGGATTTACTCTCTATTCTTTTGTCATTTCTGCCTACCTATTTTTATATTGGTTCGAATCGCCTGAACATAGTTGTTTACTGTAGGTGCTCCGTTGAACATGCAGACTTACATGCCGTCTTGTTAGTAGTTTAGTACACCTTTTCCTATCCCCATCTGACCGGTGTCTGTCCGTGCCCACAGCGGCGGTTATGACGGCCCGTACGGCGGCCGCGGCGGTCGGCCCGGGCCGCCGGGACCCCCGGGCGGTCACCGCGGCCGGCTCGGGCCCCCCGGGCCCCCGGGGCCTCCGTACGAGGGCCCGCCGCCGCCGTTCCGCGACCGGGGTCGGGGCCGCGGCGGCCGGCCCCCGCCGCGCGGCCCGCTCGGACATGGACGGTTCGAGGAGGTGAGTGCGGCGGGGATTGCTGCGGCGGGCAGCACAGGCTGGGTTAGTGCGAAGATCCGGCCAGTAGAGGGGTAGATCCATTGGACGAATGTGGGCCGAACTGATAAGCTATGAGTTTCACTGGGTGTGTTTCATACGTATACTAGAGGTATCAGATGTGTGCATCGTTCTGTTAAGCTCTTTACCTGAATGCATGAATGCTTTCAATATCGGGCAGTGTATTGTCAACAGCGATGTCGGCGTCTCTCGGCCCGTTTCTCCGTCTCTGCGATCGCCCTTCTAACACCATTCTCTCGCCTCCCCAGTTCGAGCCGACCTCTGAGCCGGACCTGCCGGAGGCGAGCGCCGACGACCTGGCGCAGGTGGAGCGCAGCCGCGCCGACAGCACCTCCACATTCATCAACGAGGAGGCGCGCGAGATCCGCTGGTACGGCGAGAACTGCGTCTGCCTCCTGGACTGGGACGACCCGCGCATGCTGTTCTTCAAGCCGGGCGCGCGGCACATCTCTCTGGACGGTCAGCAGTTCCTGTGTCGGTTCAACGAGGGCTACACGGACATCTCAGTGGACGGCGTGCGCCACCGGGTGCGGCTCGGCTACCCGACCAAGGAGGTGTTCCTGGACGGACACGGCTACCAGGTGTTTTTCGGCGGCGACCCCATCCAGGTGATCGTGGACGGCCGGCAGCGAGCGCTCAGCGTCGAGGGGCCGGCGCCCGGCGTGGCCATCGGCCGGCGGCGCACCGACTTCTGCGCCGGCAAAATCAAAATGATCATCGACGGCAACGAGACGGTGCCCATCTACCTGGACTGCAAGCCGCAGCGGTTCGACGTGGCCGGCAAGCCGCACGTGCTGCGCTTCCGGGACGGCTTCCTGCGGATGGAGCTGAACGGACACGTGATGCGCACCGAGTTCGGCGGCCTACCGGTGCCGGTGGTGGTGGGCGGCCGCAAACACTACATCCGGCTGACGCGGGTGCCGGTGCGCGTCCGGCCCGGCCGCATGGAGATGAAGGGCATGTTCCCCAACCACCAGGCGCCCTGGCCGCTGCCCTGGGAGGACCGCGAGTTCCAGCTGATGCCGATGGCCGGGCCGGGCCGCCGCGAGGACGAGGACGAGGAACCGTACCGCGCCGGGCCGCCGGGGCTGCCCGGCCGGCAGGGACCGCCGCCCCGCGGACCACCGCCGCGCGGACCGCACGGCCGCGGTCGGCCGCCTCTGGGACCGCCCGGACCGCCCGGTCCCGGCGGTCCGCCCGTCTGGGAGGAGCCGCCCGACGACCTGCCCCGCAACCGTGAGTACCCGTGGGAGGGGGGGGGGGGCTGCGGGGAGCGGAGGGCTTTAACTCGAGACGGGAGCGGGACATTGTGCAGATGAGTATGAGTAATTTGCAGTGTCCGGCGCCGATTTATCGGCGGTAATATAGCAGTGGCTGTGGTCTCTCTGGCAGTGAGTGCTTCCCCTTCATCTGACGGCCGCTCCTCTGTGTTTCAGCGGCCCCCTCTCTGGACGTCATCTCCAACATGATGCCGACCACGGTGACCAAGCCGCCGACGGGGCCGTCCTATCACTCCACCGAAAACCCCGGTCAGTGGCACGCTCACAGAGCTGAGACCTACCAGCTATTGTAAATCAACTGAATCTTATTGGCGATACCGAGTTTCCTTTCTTAGGTGACCGCCTTTGGGAAGCCCGTTTCCAAAGGTCCCTTATGTGATTGTCCGTCATTAACTAACTGTCTCTCGTTGTCTGCAGGCGTGGCGCTGGCCCCCGGCGCCGGCGGGATGGACATCAACGAGCTGCTCAAAAAGCTGGCCACGAGCGGGCTGATCGGCGCCGCGCAGCTGCCAGCCGGCGGCAAACCCAACGCCAGCCGGAGAGAGGAGGAGATCAAAAACATCAAGGAGATCAGCTGGAAGTCGGATAGCCTCAAAGTGTGAGTACCTCTTAGCGAAGCTGGCTAAGTAGGAATTTTCACAACAGTGATATTTGTACCGGTGTTAACACGCGTAAGCCATGTCTCAGTACAGAAATAGTCATCAGCCCATCTGATTTCTCCCTCGCTCTGACTCACTCTCTCACTCTTTCGGCAGTCGTCAGCCGGGCATCATCAACCTGCTCTACTCTGGGATCCAGTGCGCGTCGTGCGGCTCGCGCTTCCTGCCCGAGCAGACGGTGCAGTACTCGAATCACCTGGACTGGCACTTCCGTCAGAATCGGCGGGAGAAGGAGGGCGCCCGGCGCGCGCAGAGCCGCCGCTGGTACTACGACCAGGCCAGCTGGATGCAGTACGAAGAGGTCGAGGACGCAGACGACAGGGGTGAGCGATCAGGATGGGGCGGGTCCCGGGGTCTGGCGGGGTAGAGGCGTTGGAGGGTGACAAGTGCGAGGCATCCTCGACTTTTGCTTCAGCTAGAGTGTTAGCGTGTGGATAGGGAGAGTTTGCTGTATTTCGCCAGTGTGTGAGCTGACTCCGTTCAACCTGCAGTCGTCTGTTTGTTGTGTCCCCTCTGACCTTTGTGCTTTGTCCGGCAGTTGACCCGGCATTTGATCAGCCGGATCCAATGGAAGGGGCCGAGGAGGAGGACCCCGAGTCGCTCTGTTCGGCGCCCGTGGGGCCCACCGAGGCCGACAACAAGTGCCAGGTGAGCCGCCGACCGCCGATCGAACAGATCTGGCGTATTTAATGACAGACCAGCTGCTTACATCAGACGTTGCTATGACTTCTGCTTAAAATGATCACATTTTCCTAAATAGCTGTCATTTTCCGCGACGAGCAGTGCCATCTGATTGGCGGATCGGCTAGATTTCCTGTTGACAACTCGTTAGTGATTAACCCCGGGGTAGTTGTGTGCAGTCTGGCGGTGGCTCCTGCCGCGGTAGTGTGTATCTCCCGTTACTGAGGCATCCCCTTCCTCCATCAGGTGTGTGGCGAGCAGCTGCGGCGCTTCTTCCACGAGGAGTCGGAAGAGTGGCACCTGCGCGACTGCATCCGCGTCGAGGGGAAGGCCTACCACCCGGGCTGCTTCGAGGACCACAAGGTCAGTTAGGGCTCCGGCCGAGCGGGCCGAGCCCGGACGGTAATGGTGCTAACGCATTTGTTCGTAGTGCTGATTTGGTGAGATGTATTTCAAAACGACATATAATGTATTGATGTGGTTTGATGTGGCTTAGCTCTGATTACAGTGTCTCTGCAGACTTCTAGCCGCTGTGTTTGTTGTTGGAGGTTTTCTAACGTCTGTGTTTTTCCGCCAGACGACGCTGCTGCTTCAGTCGGTGATGAGCCACGACAGTACGGACGCCTCGGCCGCCGGAGACGTCTCCATGGAGGAGCACGAGTTCAAACCCACACCGGACGACGACGAGGAAGACCGGAAACTGAGCCAGGAGGACCGGAAACTGAGCCAGGAGGACCGGAAACTGAGCCAGGACGACCGGAAACTGAGCCAGGAGGACCGACAACTGAGCCAGGAGGACCGGACACTCTCCCAGGAGGACCGCAAACCGTCCGAGGAGGATCTCAAACCGTCCGAGGAGGAGCTCCAGGCCTCCAAGGAGGAGTACCAGGCCGCCGCCGAGGACAGAAAGCCCTCGGCCGAGGAGCTGGCGTCCGCGGAGGGCGTCATGTCGGGAGCCGGGGACGCCAAACCCACAGCGGATGATCCCAGGCTGGATGAACCGCAGCCGGACGCGGAGAAGGACCCCGCTCCGACTGAGACGGAGCTGCCGTCCGGTCATGTGGAGATGGAGTCCGCCGAGGGGCCCGCGGCTGAGAGCAGTGAGGCGCCGCCGGCCGCAGAGGCCCCGGAGGACGGCGAGCCTGCGGGGTCCGGTCTGACAGAAACGACAGTCGATAGAGAAGCAGAGTCCAGCCCGGTGCCAGCCGCTGACGTGGACACTGCGGCCGAGGACGTGGGCGAACGCGCGCCGGACGTGAACGTGACGTCCACGGACGTGGACGTGACTGAGAGCTCCGTGCGGCCGGAGCAGGACGCAGCGGAGGGCGAGCCGGCGCCCGAGGAGGCGGCCGGCGACTCCGCCGCGGCCGAGGCCGGGCCCGCGGAGCCCGAGCCGTCCCAGGAGTCTGTGCCGGAGGTGGGGGAGGACGAGTCGTACCGAGTGGAGGAGATCGGCCGGCGGCCGGCCGAGCCCGACTCGCAGCTCTCCCAGCCGCCGCCGGTGAAGGAGGAGCCCCTCACGGAGACCTGGAGTGACGCCTCACTGCCGCCCTCTGATGACGAGGACTGCGTCACCGTGACCGTGGCGCCGCCCGCCGCCGGCGTCATCAAGCCGGAGAGGCCCGCGTCGGGCTCTCCGCCGCCGCCGGCGCCGGCCACTGCCGCTGCCGAGCCGCCCCCGACGGCCGCGCCGGCGGTCGAGCCGCCCGTGAGACGCGACCCGTCCGCCTCACCGCCGCCGGCCGCCCCGGCCGTGACGGTCGCGCCGCATCGCAGCCCCTGTAAGTACAGCTGGGGAGCGAGGGTTTGCACATGAAGGAAAGGAAGGGGACCGAAAGATCACTGAGCGCTGGCTGAACTTAAAATGTTAATCACACGTAGCAGCTGTTGCCAGTCACCTAGTCTCTTGTTAGAAAATAGTGAGAGTTATGACCCCTCCCCCCTCCCCCACCACCAATTAGCTTAGCACTGACCAATAGCTTTGTACTGAGCTCTGGTCAAACCGGACATGGACGAGAGACGAGCTGGGATGCCACGCCATCTTTTCAAGCTCGTGGTCGACCTGGCCATTGCCGTGCCCTTCCCTCTATAGCTTATTTCTGCCGGTAGTCGCTATTGTAGATTTAGAGTGCTGCAAAACTGTTCTCTTATTGCCGCTAGGAGGCACATGCCACAAACGAATAGCGCCATTGCTAATCATCGTAACTTTCCGAGGCAATAAATTAGGCAAGGCGTTTGGTGGTGCAATATGCTGGATATTTTGGGGGCCAGATAAGATCTAGCCTTTGGAATTTGACCTATTTAAACAGTGTTCGTTTATACGAGCATTTCCTGGGGAGAGCGCGCGCCCTCTCCGCGCGATAAGAGGCGGGCGGGGTGCCGTAACACTTCCGCACTGATTGTGTCATATAGTCCCCTCGTGTAATGTCTTAGTAATTTGTATGTAAACGCCTGCTTGTTATCCAGATCCTAGTGCAGTTAACGTAAATGACATATTTTTCATCGATTCAGTTTGTTCCGCACTTTCCACTGTTTCACCCATATTCGATTTGATAAACCCATTGCAGCCAACCGTTTTGTGTAGCTTCGCAGTCTGTTGCACAATGACAGGACGCGCTTTTTGCGTTGGGATTTTAATATTGATATGATTATGGCATTGCTTTTCTTTAATTTGTTATTCGTTCGACTTTCTTGAGTCATGTTATCACATTTTAGTCATATTTGATGCCGCATGAGGTGCGTTTTGAATAACTTGGCGTCTTTGCAAAAAAAAAACTTGTTTTAATCTCGCTTTGTTGTGGCATTTATTGGAAGTGCGTTCATGTGGTAAGTATCTCAGTGTAAATAGCAATATTGACTCGTTATTTGTAAATGAAATCATCAGCCAGTGTGGTCCCGCCTGCTGCCTGTATTGAGGTGGGTGCTGTCATAACTCTGCTCAGGCTGGTCCGAACTGTTCAGTGCTCCCTATCAGCTCCCCCGTGTCGACCCCGCGCCCCGTCTGACCGCTGTCCACTGACGCGGCCCCACCGACAGCGCCGGCCGCCGTCCGGCCGCCGCTGGACGAGCCGCAGCAGCTGATGGACGGCCATATTGCCGTACCGGAGGCGCGCCGCCCGCTCGGCGGCCGCATCCGACTGAACCTGGCGGGCGCGGCGCCGGCGCCGGAGCCGGAGGCGCCGCGGTTCTCCGAGCGGCCGGCGCCGGCCTCCGTGAAGCCGGCGCTGGTGGGCCGCCAGCTGACCGAGCTGCCGCTCAAACACAGCGGCGACGAGGAGTCCGGTCTGTGCGCCATCATGTGAGACGACGTGTGCCGCGCGGCGTCGGCGCCGAGCAGGTGTTCAGCTGTGATATTTGTGCGCGCGGCGGGCGGGCGACCGCCGCCGGTCTTGTTTTACCTGTGCCTTGTTCTGTTATCACCAAGAATTATTTTCGCAACTGGCGTTTGTCTGGTGCGGGGTGGGCTGGTGATTTCAGAAGAGGTGGGCTGGTGATTTCAGGAGAGGTGGGCTGGTGATTTCAGGAGAGGTGTGGTGACCAGGTGAGAGGGAGGAGGCGGGGAGAGGCGCTGCTGATTGGGACAGGCTGTCCGGTGGTGGAGAGACGCGACGGACGGAGACGAACTAGGGTCGCTCTGCTACGCTGCTGCTGTCCAGCGGGCGCAGGGAGGCTCCACCGCGCGGAGACGGGAGTTTACCAGGCGGGGATGAAGTCTCTGAGTAGCGACGAGCTTCCACTAAACGGTGACGAACGCTCCTCGAGTGGCCACGAGCTTCACTGCCCGGTGAATAGCGTTCACTGAGCAGTGAATGAGCTTCACTGAGCAGTGACGAGCGTTTACTGAGTGGTGGTGAGACTCACTGAGCAGTGACGAGCGGTCACTGAGGGTATCCACTGGGAGAGGCGCCTCGCCCGGTGCCCGCTCACTGGGCGGTGACCAGCTATCTAACCCTCGGTGACGAGCGTTCACCGACTGGGGTTCACTGAGCAGTGACGGGGAGTCACTGAGCGGTGACTGGGGGTTACGGGACGGGGACAGTTGCCGTTCCCAGTCCGGGGGGGGGGGGGGACTGCCGGCGGCGGCCCCGGACCGGATGGCGCTCGGTCAGGGGTCGCGGTCAGAAGGGGCCGCCGCGGGCCGGGTGGTGTTCGGCGGCCGTCCAGCTGCGCTCCGTCGGTTCTGAGTACAATACACGTTCAGAAGGCGTTCCTGCAGTCTGTACCGGGCAGGGGAGGGGCTGTATCGGGAGGGAGGGGAGGGAGTGTTCACCGTGTGGTCAGCGGCAGTGTGCGGTTTGGTGATAGCACGGGTACCGGTATGTTATACAACCGTCGCAGACCGCACTCGGCGGAACTGTATGGCTTCGTGAAGTGACCTCTGTTTACTCCACGCGGGTACAGCAGGGGTTGAACTCATAGGAGCCCTCCCCACAGCGTGGTTATTGTTCCCTCAGCTCGTCCGTGTAACCTTTGTTTTTAAGCCGAAGAGTTGTTTTTGTTTAGCACATCCATCCGGATACAATCTTCCTTGCTTATTACCATCTAGCGCCCGAAGCTAGGTTTATTTCCAAACTCCTATCCCATGTAGCCTGTGGATGTGTGGGCGGATCCAGGGGAGCGCTGGATGGGGTGTGCGCCGCTGGCTGCGATGGGCCGTGTACTTCAGTCGCTCATTCTGTATCCACCCCTGTTCAGTTCGTGTAAATTAAAACTGGCGTGGTGTGTGCGTTCCAATCAATAAACGCGATAGCCGTATGAAATGTGTATTTCTGGAGTTGAGGATGCTGAGACGTTCCGAGGTATGCGCCGAGACTTAGTAAAAATCTGGTTCCACATCACGCAGCACTCGACACTGACCGTCCCTGAGATATATGTAGGATGACCAAGAAAGTCATTCTGCTGACAAATAACATAACACACATTTGGCACGCACTAAAAGACACTTCCGTGCGAGGTTATTCTTCTGAACCAGTGCGAATAAATTTTTGGCACAGCAGCAATTCACCCAACGACCCCAATCAGCATCACGACGGACTGTACGACTTTCCACAGCCAACTATCTACATCAACCCAGGTAGGGGAAGGTGGGGTAAGACGGCCCAGCGGGGCAAGACGGACCACCAGCCCTCCCGGCTGAACCGTTGCTGGTATCTACTGCTTTATGCACTCACTATGTTTGTTTTCCTTCGTAACAATGGCCACCTTTGAGCTCATGCTGCTAGGATGCATAGCTTTTGAGTTATTGAGAAAAATGTTGTTTTTCGTCAAACCGATCTAATATAAGAGGTCTACGGGTGATTCAATTACGGCGCCTTTCTTGCATGATTAGTTTCTATTTTGCACTTTACTGTGAAGAACAAAGTTATAAACTTAGTTATAGTCACACTTAAGGAAAGGCAAGGTTTTGCAATGTTGCGCTATTTGACATATACGTCATGATAATGACAGAATTTAGATTTGGGGCAAGACGGACCACTGTGGTCCATCTTACCCTGTGGTGGTCCATTGTACCCTGCATATGGAAAGTTCTTTTCCAAAACATTGACACAAGTTTAAGTACCTAAGCTAATTTTTCAGGAAGGAGTCTTTGTTGCATGTGAGCCATGCATGCAAGTGCTCAGTTAGCATGCATTCATGCCAAACGACAATCAACACACATGTTCCCAGCTTTTAGCTGCACTTCCATCACACATGAGTAAAAATAAAGGCTCATTTGGTTATTTTACCATTCTAGTTACTTTTTCTTACAAGAGTACAGAGCAGAAGTGTAAGACACATGAACGGATAGCAGGCACTGCTGGGTGGTCCGTCTTACCCCACGTTTTTTCTTGTCTGAGTTTTTGACATGTCCCTCTTTAAGAGCATCCACCACCTAGATGTCTTTAAGTTGAAATTTAGTCTTTACACATATCAACAGAGGAAGGATTGAGCATTCCGAAGACTATAAATAATATGAATTACGAGAGCAGTGTAGCAAGATATGCGGCCTCAAACCTTAGCTGGTCCGTCTTACCCCACCTTCCCCTAAACAGTTCTCTGAGAGGTTGTTGAATGGTGATGGATATGCCCGCGTGCCCAACGCCACAGACCACACTTCACACAATCACGAAGAATTGGTGCTACTGGTATATGAACTTCCTTTGCACATCGCCACCTTGGCCAATCCTGATAGTCATTCCAAGACCCACGGCCTGCCGGTCTCAGGAGCCCACGGCCTGATGGCTACCATGGCCCACCACCGCCCGTTTCAGGAGCCCACAATGGCCCATAGCCCGCTGGGGTCAGATATCCTGTGGGGGGGGGGGGGGGCAATGACCGCACTAACATGGCTTCAGGTAAGCCGGCAATGTGTATCGGCCCGGCCCGCTCTGGTGTAAATGATCCGGTATGATCGTATGACCACTGACTCGTCCTGAGCTGCCTGGCGACATCAGTCGATCAGCTGCGGTCAGCGCTCCCCACTAACCCCTGGTTTGGCTGGCTCACCGCTCCCTGGTCTTCAGTCCGGCCGGCCTCAGCACCCCACTGGCCGTCTATCCGTCAGACCTGACCCCTCCACTGGCCGTCTGTCCACTGAGGTGACCCTTCCCCCGGCCGTCTGTCCGACTGACCGCCGTCAGGCTCCCCCTGGCCGTCTGTCTGACCGACCCTCACCCCTCCTCTGACCGTCTGGCCGTCTGATCGCCGTCAGGGCGGTCAGCCTCCGTCTCCCGCCGCACCACTGGCTCCCTGTTGAGCGCCAGCTGAATGCGCAGCGCCTGGGCGCCGCTGGCGGCCGCCGCCAGCACACTGAAGCCGGCCAGCGCAGTGGTGAGCACCGGGAAGCTCCAGCGGTCGATGAGCGCCCCGCCCACCGTCGGGCCGACCACGTTACCCACCGAGAACACCGTCCAGAACGCGCTGGACACAAACGCCTGCGTGTGCACGCTCGAGTCGAGGCCGCCGCGTGTGCAGGCCATCAGCAGCCGGCTGAAGATGGGGATGTAGGCGCCGCCCTGGCACAGCTCCTTGAGCGTCATGCCGACCCCGAGCAGCCAGCGGGAGGGCGGCAGCGGCAGCAGCGGCGAGGGCGCCATCAGCAGCAGGCCGCCGGCGGCGCCCAGAAGACACGGCGTCACCAGCAGGTACGTGTTGCGGACGCGGTCGTGCAGCCGGCCCCAGGCCAGGCTGAACACGCAGAAGGTGCCGGTGGCGCCCAGGAAGAACAGGCCCAGCTCCGAGGGCGAGACGCCGACCGCCGACAGCACGTAGGGCCCGATGCCGGGGTCGATGGCCGTCCAGTTCATGGAGACGGCCAGCAGCACCAGGCAGCAGAGCCACGCCTCGCCGGTGGTGAGCAGCACGCGCACCAGCGGCCACAGCGGGCCGGCGCGCCGCTCCGGCGGCGCCACGGACGGCATCAGCGCGCCGGTGACGGCGGCGGCCGCGGCCAGCAGGCCGCCCAGCGCGTAGAACGGCAGCCCGTAGCCGGCCAGCCGGTAGAGGCCGCCGCCGACCGCCGGGCCCAGCGACACGCCCACGCCGGTCATGGTCTCGATGGTGCCGATGGCCGTGTTGGTGCGGCCGGGGAACCTGTGCGCCACCACCGTCAGCGAGGCCGTGTTGATGAAACACGTGGCCACCGCCTCCACGGCGCGCGTCACGAAGCAGGCGGCGATGAAGGCGGTGGTGTCGGCGATCAGCGGCAGCAGGCCGAAGGCGGCGGTGGAGAGCGCGGCCAGCAGCAGGCCGGCGCTGTAGGAGCGCGTGACGCCCAGCCGCGGCACGGCCCGGCCCACCGCTGGGTACGTCAGCAGCTGGGTGGCCGCGAAACAGCTGAACACCGCGCCCGTCACCGTCTCGGAGACGCCGCGCCGAGCCGCCTCCACCGGGAAGAACGGGATCATCAGGGCCACCAGGCAGCCGCCGAGCAGGCTGCCGGCGCACAGACAGGCCAGCAGCAGCCGCTGCTCGCGGCTGAGCGGCGCCGGCGGGCCGCCCTCCCCGGGCTGCGCGGCCCCGTCACCGGGCTCACTGCACGCCGAGTAAGAACTGTCCTGGCCGTCCGCGGCGCTGGAGAGCAGCCGCGACTGCTCCGAGTGGTCCCCCTCCTCGGCGGTCATCCTGGCTCTGTCCTGATCCTGTCTTTGCCCGCTCCTGGTGCTGTCCTGATCCGCTAATGGTCCCGTCCTGCTCCTGCAGCAGAGTCCTGACTCCTGATGGTCTGCGGCGCAGCAGTACGCTCGTCCGTCTCAGTTCGTTCTGTCACGAAGACGCCGCTGGTCCATTTGCCCTGGATCTGCCCACATCACAAACTTCACAATAGCTGTTCGTCTGCAGGTCACCGTCCACCGCATCCACGTTCACCGTGGACACTGATCCAGTGCCCTCACTGCGAGACAACTTGCACTTCTCCGAAACATGCGCACTCCGGGACCGGCGCGCCCGTCTAGCGGTCGTTGAATGCCGGGCGGATGGGGTGCTGGCCCGGTCGGCAGGGGCGCACCCAGGCCGTCTGTGCGGTGCGGCTCGGTCGGTCCGTCTGGCGGTGCTGGCGGTGGCGCGGCGCCAGGGTCCGTCCGCCGCCGGAGACGGTCCAGGAGAGAGTGACGCCGCCCGGAGCCGCCCGAGTCGGACCGAGCGGCCGCCCGGCGCCGGCATGTTGCGCAAGGCGGAATCTGTACGGCTGAACCCTGACCGGCCGCGGACTATTGCGAGAAGTGTTGAAAATTTCGCGGGATTTATAAATCACATCATGGGTTCGGACCTTTTCGGGTCCATAGTTACAGAGTCCCCTTTTCCCGAGGCTATATCTTCCCTAGTTTGCCCTGGTTCGGGCGCGATTGGCGTCATGCGGTACAGTCTACCTTTAGGCGCTTACCACTAGTGCCATCTATGAGCGATAATGGAAACTAATCGGCGTACACGGACGCCGAATTCCTGTGTGGTCAGTATCAGTCTAGAAACGGCTTTTTCACGACCTCCCAGCATCGCTCAGTTAGACTACCAATTGACACATACATACATGTATTAGTACACAGATTTGCGAAGGAAAGGCGCTCACCTCCAACTCTCGCCTGGCACAGGCGACAAACAGCAGCGGCACAGTCACAGACACGGTACAACTCGGCACACCGGGGCGGGCCGCGCGGCGCCCGTCGCAGACAGTCACACAGCGCACCAGACCAGCCCCGCCGCCCCCAGCCGCGCAGAGCGATCAACAGCCAAACAAAAACGCAGCGCGGCGCCCCGACCGGGCCGGGCGGACCTCAGAAACGGCCGGCAATGCAGACTGTAAGGAATGGCTCAGAGACTGCACAGAGAGTTAAGACCGTGAGAGGGAACGGAGACAGGCTGTATGTAGATTGTAGGGAAGGGAGGCAGACTTCATTAAAGGCGGAGAGATAGTCCACACGAAAAAAAAACGAGCATCTAGTAGTTTCGGTGGTTGCGCAGGATGCTAAATAGATATGATACGGGTTTGTGTCAATATAAAATGACGGATATTAGCCTTTCGACGGCTCGGTACCCGCCGGGTACCAGGCCGTCCGGTCCACCATCCAGTGACCTGCCGTTCCCTGGCACACATCTCATAGGTACACAGCTCGCGAACGCAGCAACGAACCCCCAGTCACAGCAACGTAACATGGCGTGAGATCATAACGTATTTGTACCAGCTAGTCCCGTGCAAGGGTGGCCCTAAAACGCTCAAACACAACCGGGTAAATCTGGTGCGCATCCCCCCCCCCTTAAACGGCAACACATGACTAGCTTCGGCGTACGTAAGTAAAACGGCGTCTGTAACAGACTTATACAGCCATCGCGCCAGGTCTCCGTCGACCCGGCGGACAATGTAACATGTTATACAGCCATTCACAATAGTCAACATGGATCGCGCTTCAGCTGCTTTGAACCTCGCGGCCCCACAGATAACCCGGCTCCTCTCAGCCCCATAGACAGTCCGGCTTCTCCCGGCGTCACACACAACCCGGCTTCTCCGGGCGTCAGGCCCGGCCTCTCCCGGCGTCAGGCAATCCGGCTCCTCCCGCTCCACGGCCCAGGCGCGGAGCCCGCCCGGCGATTGTGCTGCCCCCACCGGCTGCCACAGACACCACAGATACAGCTGCGGCCGATAGGTGGTGGGCCGGCCGCTGCCTCCACGGGGGCGCGTCGCCCGCCGCGCGGACCGCCGGGCCGACTGAGGGCTGTGTACCCGGTCAGACCGACTCGGGCGGCGGCGGCGAGCGACGACCCCACCGCAGCGGCGAGCCGCCCGGGCTGCTCACATACCAGTGGGCTTTGGCCGCGTGGTATCGTACGCTCGGATGATGTCGGCCTGCGGTACGGCGCCGCCCTCTTCTTGAGAGAAGGCGTAGCCATCTGCGGACACGGGGCGGAAAGGGGCGCTCAGACGGCGTGGGTCACACAATACCCTACCGACCCGGCTCTACGTGCATAAAAAACAAAATAAAACGGTATAATCCGTAAAACGGCACGTCCGGCCAGCCGATCAAAGTCACCAAGAAACTCGTCACTCAGCGCAAACAGAGCACGGACTAGACGTAACGCTACAGCCGTCCAGGCAAGGTCGGCCGCCGGGCCAGTCAGCTGAGCGGCGCGGCGCATGCTGCGGGGGGGGGGGGCGACCGCCTGACTCACGGGAGAGCTCCACCTCGAGGTCGACCCGGGTCGTGGTGCGCCGGAACACGTTCTTGACGTTCCTCAGCAGCCGGGCGCGCTCCGTTAGTCTGCCGGAGCCGTCAGCTCAGGTCAGTCAGCCGTCAGCTCAGGTCAGCCGGGGGCGGTCAACTGACCCAGTCAGCGGTGTCCGATGCGGCAGAGAGGAGGGTGCCGCGTGCACCAGGAACGGAACACATGCTTTATAGTATCTGGTAGTAGGCGTCACATATTAAACTCTAAGAAAGCACTGTCAAATTATGCTTGAGGCGAGCAGCTGTGAAGTATTGTTTCAAGCTAAACAAAAAGGGAAAACAAACGAAAAATACGGCTATCAAGCATAAAAATCGTGCATTCAATCGCCACGGAATTAAAGTTGGAAGCATTCAAAACACTGCCAACATTGTTACCATGCATGAACTCTGCCCTCTTGGCGCAGTGTTATTAAAGCGACACAACACGGGGGTCAGGTTACTGGCCGAGAGCTCGGGCGACACGGCGCACTGAGTACCAGCTGGGGGCTATCATCTGGTCGGAAGAGAACCACTGCCACAGCCGCTGTCCCTCAGGGATACGGGTCACCAGGTGGCGATGAGTCATTGTTAGGGTTAGTGTTAATCGACGCCCAGCCGGTGGCGAGGACCGAGTGTCCAGTATGGAGGAATACTGAGGTGGAACGGACGGAGACGGCTGACGGGGAGGACGGGGGTGGGGTCCACGGGGAGGACAGGGGTGTGGTACACGGGGAGGACAGGGGTGTGGTCCACGGGGAGGACAGGGGTGGGGTCCGTGGGGAGGACAGGGCTGTGGTCCATGAGGAGGACTGGGGTGGGGTCCGTGGGGAGGACAGGGGTGGGGTCCATGGGGGAGGACTGGTCCATGGGGAGGACAGGGCTGTGGTCCGTGGGGAGGACAGGGGGTGTGTTCCGTGGGGAGGACAGGGGTGGGGTCCGTGGGGAGGACTGACGGCCGCTGCTTACAGAGGAACCGGCTGATCGGCCAGAAGCGGACTTCGCTCGTCGCCGGCGGCGGAGAGGAGCTCTCCGCTGTCCACTGACTGTCCGCTGTCCGAGTGTCCTCCGCTGCCAGCGGCTCCATCTCTGGAGCGGCCAGGCCAAGGTCGGACAGGGCAGAGGGACGCGCGCGGGACACACGGGCAGAGGGCGGCGCCGGCGGCAGAGCGGGGAGCGGCCGGCCGGCGCCGCCCTCTGCCCCTCCGCCGGCCGCGGCGGGCAGTACACACCATGCAGAGCTGCGAGCAGTCAGTGCTAGTCGGATGGCAGATCATGCTTGGTTAACATTCGGGGAGTTCAGTGACGGTTATTCCAGCGGCATGCGTAATTGCGGTAATGCTAATATAAGTACCTGACTGGTATTAGATGTTACATGCAGTCCGTATGAAGGTTGAGAACTGAGGCTCGGGTTCTTCACACTAGGGTGGATTCGCTACACATGGCTCAAATACAATCGGACAATATGAACCTTTATGTCGTGAAGCATCTACAAGTGTGATGTAGCATGAAATAAAATATCAATGTCTTTAATGCATCCATGGTTACACAGGTACAGGTACAGCTTTCCTACTGGACTGCTCATATGGCGGCGTAAAATGGTAAATGGACACCCGCATTTAGTGAGCTAATGGCCAAAATGGCGACACTCGCACCATTACCTGTAGAGTCATGTAACTCCTGATATGTGCACCATATTCTTATAACAGGCTACCCCTAAAATCATACCCAATTATCACCTCTATGACGGTAAAACGTCTAAAGTCAGGGTACAAGTACATAAAACGATAAAACCCGTTAACAAAAGAATTAAGCATATTACGGTACACGATTAAATGCATAAACTAATTGCTAATTACACCAGCATTAAATCACATAAAAGCATATTCTTCTTGTCCAAGCAGACCAAATTGGTGGGGGCGCCAGCCTGGCAGGGTGACTAGATAAGGTACATCCAACAGTGGTCCGTCATATCACAGTGTGGCAGGGCGGGCGGGGGCCCGCGGTGGGTCGGCAGCTACAAACCGAAAGAGTCGTGCACTGTGAGCGCGGCCGGAGCGGTGCCGTTGACCTTCTGGCGCCGCGGCTGCTCCTCGAACACCGTACTGAGCTCTACACTGAAATATACAGAGCTCGGCGCTAGAGAACGGCCACACTGCCGGACGACAGACACGGCAAGCGCCCCGGCGCGCCGGCCCGGGTCCGCCCGCGGCCACTCTCCACATGCCAGAAGCCGCACACGAACTCCACACGCCGACTATGAGGGCACACAGACAGCCATAGCTAGAGAAAACAAAACATCCAGAGACTCATTAACTGGGAGGCATTCAACGCAAGGTTCAGTTTAGTAGAAAACAAAACAAAACAGGACTGCACGGACGGACTAGTGGGGGTGGGTGCCCTGAGGCGGGGGCGGGGGCGGGGGCGGGCCGGTCAGGCGCCGCAGCGGCCGGCGGCCGGCCAGCCGGGACGCGGGGACGCGTACTTTTCCTTGACGTCCATGATGATGGAAGGGTCGCGCGCCTTGATCTCGCTCTCGCGCACCTCGTCCGTCAGCGTCTTGTGCACCGTGCTCCGGATACTGCCGAGACACACAGACATACAGTCACACAATCTGAGTCACAGACAGACAGACAGACAGACAGACAGACACCTCGTCCGTCAGCGTCTTGTGCACCGTGCTCCCGATACCGGGAAACACGCAGATACACACCGTTTGGGAATTCCTAGACGACCCTTTTAACATCACAGCTTGGTAATGGTAACAGTAGAAAAAAAAACTATCATGGGTACATCTACAGATATTATAAATAGCGTCTTCAAGCCTATACTCCGATTCAAGCTTTCGCCTTCAAAATTCTTCGAGCCTTGAGTCTTCAAAATCCAGGCCTATATCGAGATGCGCTAGCGTCCTCCCGTTCTTCCCTCCGTCACTCGAAGCCCTCTACCAGCCCCTCTCTGTGTCTCTCCTCCCCTCCCTCCCGGCGTCCACCCACCTCTTGAAGATGACGTCCGGCAGGATGGTGGCGGTAGGCACCATGATCAGTCCCAGCCAGAAGACGGGGCTGGTAAACACCATGGTGTCCAGGCCGATCATGTCGTGCGCGAACGGCAGGTGCGAGTAGATGAGCAGGAAGGCGAACCACACGCCGATCGAGCCCCAGATGGCCAGGTGGGTGAGACACGTCCAGGCCTGCATCTCCAGGCCGGCCTTCAGTGACACAGTCACCACCACATACTGGCGGAACCGAGGGACAGTCAGACAGACAGACAGACAGTCAGGCAAACGGACAGTCAGACAATCAGACACAGACAGTCACCACCACGTTCTGTCCGGACAAACAGACAGTCAGACAGACAGACACGCAGACAAACGGACAGTCAGACAATCAGACACAGACAGTCACCACCACGTTCTGTCCGGACAAACAGACAGTCAGACAGACAGACACGCAGACAAACGGACAGTCAGACAATCAGACACAGACAGTCACCACCACGTTCTGTCCGGACAAACAGACAGTCAGACAGACAGACACGCAGACAAACGGACAGTCAGACAATCAGACACAGACAGTCACCACCACGTACTGCCGGACGAAGAGACAGACCGAGAGACAAGCAGGTAGCCAGTCAGACAGTCAGAAAGCCAAGCATAGACACACAGTCACTACAACGTACTGCCGGGAAGGGGGCGGGGCGGATGGGGTCAGTTGGAGCGGGCCGGGGTAGCACGACACTCAGCGGGACAATGGACAGAGTTGCCGGATAAAAGTTTTGAAACAGGGACTGTTGCTCCCAAAAGTCCATGGAGTGTATCCACCTAACTAGCTTTGCTTCTCCCAGCCCAGGTAGCAACGGTTCAGCGCCGGCCGCCCAGTCACCCAGTGAGCAAACCCGGCGCGTCCTTACCGTGTAGACCATGTTGCCGAACATGAGGTAGCCGGCGTTTCTGCCGCTGGACCAGGCCACGTCCTGGGTCATCGTGCCGTACGACAGCCAGAACAGCATCACAGAGTGCACCAGCGAGTTGATGATCCACAGCCAAAACACCTGCCGGGAGAACATGGATCAGCGTAGGTCTCAGTAGCCAGAGGCAGGCAGACAGCCCACAACGGCCAAGTACAGCCATACAAAAAGGTCAAATCTGCTGTTACTCAGTCCTAAACAAAGATAGTCTGACATCAGCTAACCGGTAACAAGTACACTGAATGGATCCCAATCGGCAATACACAGCCACCTTACCGCCGTTATATGCTACCGGCGCACTGTAGGCGTTCGGGCCGGTCTAGCCTCTCAGAATCCCAATTTTTTTTCTCGCTTTTATGAAAACAAAAACCATACCAATCGACGGCAAAATGTCCACACATTACATACATGACAGTTATTTGGTCCTGCAATATCTTGGTATGGGGAGAAAGGAGCCTCAAACACAAAGTTTTTTTGGACCGCGGACAAGTCATGATTAACGCATGTTTGAAGAGTCAAAGTATATGCCATGGGGATCCTATGTGCGTTAGTTGTCCACGTCAATGTTTTTATGAGTTGTTCTGTGACATGTTACAATCAATCCTGCGGAAAGAGAAATGAGATGAGGTGCATCATTAAGCAACATGAGAGATCAACATATCATCGCGTCATCTCATATTTTTGAAACTAACATCGATCACTAAGTTAGAGCCGATCTTTTGAGTACCCCTAGGTCCCGCTCTAAATTGTGCGTCACAATACGCAGTGGGATGTTACTGAACTAGTCAGACAGTATAAAAGTGCGCAAACGTGCGCCTCGGCGGCTATGCAACATTTTGCAACACACTGCTCGCCAATATCCCGTGCCCCACTGGAGAGCTGCTATTCATAGCCCCCTTCTAACTCCAAAACTACTAGACCGATTGTCAAAATTCAAAGGGCGTCTGATAGCCCTGGAAAAATTGTCTAAAAGTACCTAATGTTATTGACCTCAAGGTCACCGATGACGTCACAGGTAAGGTCAAAGTAAGAGTTATCGAAGTTTTAGCTTGTTTTTGGACTCTGGTCGCCGGCTAGTAACTCAGATAAGCCTCATTTTTGATAATACACTCGAGAATATGTCTTATATACCCTGATGGTGCCAAACTTGTGCAATTAGTTTTTCAAGTCGACGCCAGGTCATCCTAGGTCACGGAAATTTCAAATCATGCCCCGGTCGCGTGACATATGTTTTATGGTCGATTTAGGCCATGTGTTCAGAAGGCTGTGTCGTATGTGTCATTCAATGCCATTTTCAGCTGAATCTAGCTGAGGTCAAGTCACTTTCAGGTCAGAAAAGGTCAACTTTTGAAGTTTAAGTTTTCATTTAAAAAAATGTGTCTATCAGATGCCGTTTTAGCTGAGGAACACGATGGTGCTATTCATTCTGTGGTACGATATTTTCGAAAAGTCAAAAACGTATAGTACAAAGGTTTAATAATATAATTTTTTATTTTTGATGCTATCAGTTTTCTAAAGTTTATTTTTTTATATTAAATATGAGATGTTAGTTTAAGAGTCCTGTGTATTTTGAGTTCTCCAATGCAAAAAAAAGGATCCAGCTTTAAAACTGAGCTCATAACCCTCGCCGGCACAGGCCATTTGGCGTCCTTCGACGGCACAGGGGGGGGGGGGGCTACGACCCCCCTCGCGTTTGACCCCTGATCGAGCTAGAGCTTCGCGGAAAAGACAAGCGTGTTGCCCGTGACGAGAGGAAGCCGATGATACCCGATTTCAAGGTCCTAGGTCATCGGTTGACCTTCCAGGTCAGGTCAATGACCCAAAAGTCGGGAAAATCGGGACCTGTTAGAACGTCGTTAAGTGTGGCTGCTATGGGGTCTTTCGGGGTGCTGTTCACGAATATCATATTAGTTTTGATCACAGGCGATACCTTTATGCATTTAGACCAGGTTGGGTCAGGTCAGGTCAGGTCAACCGGTAGGGGTCCTGCCGGGTATTCGTAGTACGTGTCAACCGCCTCTGACAGCTTCGTACGAAGGCACCAAAACTACTTCGTAAATGTTCAGATGGTTGCTAAATTCGAATTCAGCTCCAAAAACTACCCTAGAAACATGTACCTAAAACTCAAAAAGAGAACCGAGGTCATCAAAGGTCAATGACCTGACCTGACCTTCAAGTGACCTTGACACCCACCATAATGCATACGACCAGCATCATATCACAAGTTGGAACGCTTGAAACCATGAAAAGACTGCAAACGCGAGCCGACATACGCCGAATCGCGACTCCGGCCAAACATGGTCTCGAGAAACAGGTCATAGGTGAAAGGTCGTTTGGGTCAGGGTCATGAAATTTTTAGGGTAGATGTAAGGTTGATTGACTCGAGAGTACTGAAAGTTTCGTTGCGATCGGTCGACTTTTACGCGAGTTATTTGCGAAAAACCGAGGGGAGGGGGTCTGTTCGACCCCCTCCCCCCTATAGGGGGAGGGTTAAGTGCTGTGGTCACAACGCACTCGTCAACTGTACAGTGCATTTAAATACAATTTCCTGGTGATAAAAAGCCCGAAAGTTCAATAAATCATAGAATGGGCGCGCTCCGTTTTTGCCATATTTATGCAACATTTCATGCAGCCCATGCACATTGCAAAAGCTTATGACATGGCCAAGTTGATCCGTCCACGTTCTCTAATGAATTTGCTACAGATTGGTGTGTCATTTGTAGGCGTAGGTCGCCTAGATTCAAATCTATGAGGACTGAAAGGTGGTGAGAGGCTAGACCCACTGAAACGCCCACTGTGCGGCGGGTTCCTGTCCCCAGCAGCGATCCTCCCTTTGACCCCGCCCCGTCCGCCCCCGGGTCTATTGTGGCCGCGTGTGGGCCGGTGGGCCGATGAGCCCGCAGCCGGCGGCGGGCGCGGCGATTGACGGGAATATTTAGCAGGCGGCCGGCGGGCCGTGTGGGGCGGTAATAGAGCCGCCGGCGCCGCCGCCGACCCGCCGGCGCCGCCGCCGGAACAGACGGCGCCTTCAGACACAGCGAGCAGCCTCAGACCGCTCAGCGCGCGCCGCGTGGGAGGAGGACAAAGTGGGGCGCGCTGGCACTGCATACATTAGGAAGGCATTGGAATACTGCAGTTCATAACGTTACATAAGTCGGACGGTGGTGGCGGTTACGGCGGCAGTCCCAGTTCCCTCGTACTCACCCTCGTGCTGAAGAGCTGTCCCTCCTGTGACGTCTTGTACAGTTGCGGGTACTTGAGTCGCGTCTCGGCCGAACAGGACCGGTCGATGAAGCCCATGATGAGCGGCGGTACCGAGGTGAACAGCTGACGGCAGACGCGCACACAAACAGCGGTCAGCGGCGTACAGCAGAGGGAGGTGTGCCACTGAGTTATGACCTAGCCCGGGAGACAGGTAATGTGAGCCTCATAAAAGATTAACGTTACGAGGCAAAGCGATTATTCCGGACAATATAAACTTCATGAAGAATGCAATAATTCTAGAACATGCACGCCTCTCAGTGAATACACGAGGACTTGAAAGATCGAAACTGCTCCACAAAGCCCCCCCCCCTACCCCATAAATCTGCCTAGATAGTCAGCATCCCGTGCCTCTCGAAGTCAATCTCCCCGCCTCACCAGGTTATAGGCGGCGATGGTCCAGCGCTCGAAGACCACCTGTCCGGACCAGCCCGAGTAGATGGCGTACCACAGCTCCATCACGTACAGACAGATGTTCTTGTAGAAGCTGTACAGCACCACCTGGGTCAGCCGGCTGTAGTTCCACGCGCCGTGCACGAACAGCAGCCGCGCCAGGAAGCGGAACTGGCCGATGGCGTAGTCGGAGCTGTGCGCGGCCTGCAGACCCTCCAGGCCGGCCACCCCGACCCCCACGTGCGCCGCCTGGATCATGGCCACGTCGTTGGCGCCGTCTCCGATGGCCAGCGTGACGGCGCCCGTGTGCTGGGTGACCAGCTCCGCTACCTGTGAGGGGGAGAGCGGGGGCGGGGTCAGAACGGGGTCAGGAAGGGGTGGGAGGGCCCGCGACCAATATCCAAAAACAAGGGGAACTGTGACCAAATAATTTCTTTCTACGCTGGGATTTAAAACAGGCAAATGCTCGGCGCCAATTAAATAGAACTGTCATCACCCCAATATGTCATCACCAATTACCGTTCTTATATTTTCTGATCCATCCCAATGAAAGTCAAACCCAGGCCCGGCCCTCGGTGACCCCGCTGCTGACTGCCACTGGTGCCGGGTGTGGCCGGCGGTCGGCCGGCCTTACCTCTGCCTTTTGTCCGGGACTGACGCGGCAGCAGACCACGCTGCGGCAGCCCAGGCACAGCTCCATGAACTCGGAGCGCAGCTCGTGTGTCAGCGCGTACTGCAGCGTGCGGCCGTCAATGATGAGCGCCACCTGACCAGCCTCCTCGCGGTGGTCACGCATCTCGTTCAGACGCTCCGTCACCATAGCGCGCGTCCGCTGCGGACGGGAGGGGAAAAGAGCTGTAACTCCAGTACAGTACAGACAGACACACTGACAGACAGACAGACAGACAGACAGACAGCCGCTCCTTCACCATGGCGCGCGTCCGCTATCGACGGGAGGGAGGGGAGCGTTAATGGAGGTCCTACGGCATAGACAGACAGACAAAAGGACAGACAAAACATCGGGTGAGCCAACACAACAGGAGCTGAAAGCGCTAACATCCGCCGCAAAATTGCGCAGCTCTTGTGATTCCCTAAAAGCAATGCGCTGTATGGAAATGACTAGCTGAAAGGGTCCCCCAGTCTCACTCCTGTCGCAAAGTTCAACAGCGGACGCATTTCCGATACCAGTGATCTGTAAGATCTAGTCACGGAGAGCCTACCAGCGATCCCTCCATCCTGACGAGTACCCGCCCGGAATACCGCCGGCGGTCTGAGTGAGCCGCGATAAGCCCTCTCCGCCGGGCCGTGGTCTCGAGCCGCTCCCACCAGCCTTACAAAGCCGCGCCGGCCGCCGGCGGCCACAGCCCGGTCAATCACGCTAATGTGCGCTCAGTGAGAACCGAGCTACTGTCGACGCCACACAACCCGACAGCGGTCAACACTCGCCCTCTGTCCCCTCCCCTCTCCCCTCACAGAGTGGCCATTACGCCGCTCTGCCCCCTCCCCAACCATGAGCGCCGTACAATCGATACAGACGGCGAAATACCGCCACTCCAACGAAACCACGCGCAAAAACCGACGGCCGAGGCTGTTTTCTCAAGCATTCTCTCTTCGCACTCCACTAAAATAGCCATCTCCTCCACTCTAATGGATAGCGAGGGGGGAGCGTAATGGGTGCGGGAGGGAGGGAGAGGGAGAGGGAGAGGGAGAGGGAGAGGGAGAGGGAGAGGGAGAGGGAGAGGGAGAGGGAGAGGGAGAGGGAGAGGGAGAGAGAGGGAGAGGTGATAGAGATTCAATCTCTCAGGAAGAGACCCTGCATTCTGCGGCCCATCTCGAGTCGGCCTCATCTCCGTGTCACGCGCCGTCCGCCGCCTCCATCCTCTGCCCGCCACCCTGCCCTCTGCCCGCTCCCCGGAGTCTGCCCTCTGCCCCCCTCTGCCCTATGCCCACACTCCGTCCTCCCCCACTCACGTCCAGGCCGTCCTCGTTCAGTATGAGCAGCGGCATCTTGGAGTGCAGCAGGCGCGACGAGTGGCCGATGTTGATGGCCGTCTCCTGCTTGTCTCCGGTCAGCACCCAGACGTGAATATCGGCGGCCAGCAGGGCCTCTATCGTCTCCGGGACCTGGCAGACAGACATACAGACGTGAATAACAGCCGCCAGCGGGACTTCTACGTCTCCAGTACCTGCCGTATTGGCGCACAGACGGGTGACAGAGGTAGCACGGAGACTGAGAGGGATAACAGAAACCGAAACATGACCGTCGGTGACATGACAACACGACAGGATAACATGGCCGTCGGTGTATGACCGGTTGGAGTCGGACACGATGCATGGTAAGGTGGTAACTCTAGGCAGTGGTATCGAAACATCTTCCACATTTTATGACTATTTTCAACTATCGGCACGCGCTGAACCTGATCAGTTATATCAATCACAGCCTACTAACAAATTCTGAACGAGTTCGTGTCGCAGCGACCAGGATGTCATGTCGAATCGGTCCGGGACATTCCAGGAGCGCCGAGTAATTTACCGGACGGCCCGGCAGTCGGCAGTCGGTACCATTGATTTACCCGCCGCCCCGACGCCGTCCATAATTAACTGTTATTCCGTGGCCGGGCCGCGGTACACTCGGTCCAACCCACCTCGCTTTGGGAGTTTGTGCTCTAGTCCAGCTTGTCCTGGAGTTTGTCCCCGATCTACCTCACCTTGTCCTGGAGATTGTCCCGGTCTACCCCACCTTGTCCTGGAGTTTGTCCCGGTCTAGCCCACCTTGTCCTGGGGTTTGTCCCGGTTTAACCCACCTTGTCCTGGAGTTTGTCCTCGATGGCGGTGGCTCCCAGCAGTACCAGGTTGGTCTCGATCAGCCGGGCGGCGTCCTCGACCTTCTCCTCGCGGCACTGAATGGCCGTGGACGCCTTGTGGTAGGTCTCCTGCCACTCCTGAGGGACGGACAATAAGGATCACATCACACTGAATGGCCGTGGACGCCTTGTGGTAGGTCTCCTGCCACTCCTGAGGGACGGCAGTACCACAGTAAGAGGCACGTCACACCACTCCAACCAGCCAATCATTGAATGGCATAGAACCATTGAAATAAAAACCCGGCAGCCGCCAGTCTGGGACAGTTATTGAGCTGCCGTGGGAGGTTCTCAGAGCTCAGTACTGGAGAGTCTCCCTGAGCCAGCGGCCCGGAGAGGGTGTCCACCGGCGGGTGTTCCGTGAGAGCCGACACGGGGCGAGTACACACACCATTAACAAGGCGGCACCCGACACCGACCAGCTCGACCCCTCCCCTCTCCTCCCTGTGGCCTCATCAGCGCCGCCGGCACCGGGGGCTCTGCCCGCCCCTCCGCCTCCCAGTCCCCGCCCACTCCTCCCACCCGCCTCCCGCCTCCCCCGCGTCCCTCCCGGTTACCTTGTACTCCTGCTCGGGTATATCCGCCACGGCCAGACACAGCGTGCGCAGGCCCTCCCTGTCCCTCCTCTATCCCTTCCCTCCCGGTTACCTTGTACTCCTGTTCGGGGATGTCCGCCACGGCCAGACACAGCGTGCGCAGGCCCTCCCTGTCCCTCCTCTATCCCTTCCCTCCCGGTTACCTTGTACTCCTGCTCGGGGATGTCCGCCACGGCCAGACACAGCGTGCGCAGGCCCTCCCTGTCCCTCCTCTATCCCTTCCCTCCCGGTTACCTTGTACTCCTGTTCGGGGATGTCCGCCACGGCCAGACACAGCGTACGCAGGCCCTCGCTGGCGAACTCAGCCAGGTGAGAGAGAGTGTCGTCCTTGTAGCGCGGGTCGCCCAGTCTCTCGTAGATGACCGTGTCGGCGCCCTTACACATTAGCTGAATCCGGCCGTTCGGCTGACGGATTATCACCTGAGCGGAGCGGGGGAACCGGTCAGGTCAGGTCAGGGAAGGTCAGGGAAGGTCAGGTCAGGTCACCATACACGGCGAGGTTCGGGGCAGCTGGTCGCAGGCGGGAGCCGCGGGACTGTGCCGATATGATTGCGGCTGGAACCAGACATCTGGAAAGGCATGAATTCCAGAAAACAGGCTTGGAGATGAAGCAAAGTTGATTGTCCAATTTACAAGACAGCGAACAGCAGCTAAGCATGAATAATGCAGCTTCATAACTACCTGTCACACGTGTCCCAGATTCATGAATTGTACACCCACTGAGGGGCCTGGCTTCCCAGTAAAACCGACTAGAGCTATCCTATTCCCAGTTGTGCATAATATCGACCCCGCCACAGACAGGCGGTTATCTCGGTTCTAGTCGGCCGCCGTGTCCCATTGGCCGTCTTTGATGTCAGTTCCGCCCGCCCCAGGTGTACCGGTGGCGGCCAGCGGGTGCGCCAGCTGCGGCCGACGGTCAATCACGAGCACGGCCACAGGTGGCACGGCGCCGGTCCGCGGGCACGCGCGGCGCGTCTCACAGGCCACAGCCGGCGGCCGGGGCAGACTTCAATACATTCCCAGACAGTCAGCGGCCCGGACAGACTTCGATACCCTCCCAGACAGCCGGCGGCCGGGACCGACCTCAATACCCTCCCAGACAGCCGGCGGCCCGGACAGACTACGATACATTCCCAGACAGCCGCCACAGCTGCATTCCAAGCCAGCCATTCCCACACAATAGTCACTGCCATAGAATTATAGAATCCCACACAGCAGGGAGCGGATCTGGCTGATTTTAACGGAAGCACACATCCCACGACACAATCTTGGTCCGCTGCTATTGCCCTCACATCCGCCCCCCTCCCCCCACGGAGAACCCGAGTTACCCACAGTGCTGCCTCTCCCCAGCTGCCACCGTCCCACACAGAGACATTCGGAATTCCCCGGAGAGCCCGAGTTACTCCGACCTTCCCCGTCCCCTACTGACCGACATTCCCGGAGAACCCGAGTTACTCCGACCTTCCCCGTCCCCCGCCGACTGACCGATATTCCCCATAGTACCCGAGTTACCCCGACCTCCCCGCCCTCGTCCCCCACTGACCGACATGCGCTTCCTAGTGCTGGTGAACTCCAGGACGTTCAGCACGTCAAATTGCAGCAGCTGGCCGTACGCCTCCACTGAGACCGTCTGAGGCGTGCGGGTGGTGAACGTGAACCCCAGCCGGCGGGCGCCCTCCACCAGCGCCCGCTCATCTGCCGGGAGAGAGAGAGAGAGGGTTACACCGACCGACCGACCGACCGACCGACCGACCGACGGCGCGCCGCTGTCGACTCCAGCAGTAACGGACACAAGTTCGCGCGTCTCTGCTGCTCCCGCCGCCGTCTGCGGGCACTAATTGAGCGCCGTCGGCTCAAAGTGAGACGGACGCCGCCCATCTGCCCCGTATCGCCGCGCGGAGTCGTCTGGCGGTGGCCGAGCAGCCATTCGGAGCGGCGGAGCGGTCCACGCGGCGCGGAGAGGCTCATTTGAGCGGCCGCCGTGCGGTCGTTAATAATGTCACTGGCGACAGTTCACGACAGGGCCGGACGCTGAGGCCGTACCGGCGTTGATTGCACAAAAGTCAGGAAATGCCAGAGAGAGTTTGGAGACGGAATGGGACGCCGAGCGGCGGTCGATCAGCTCGGCAGACGTAGCACAACGCGCCGAGACAAGACCGTCGGTAATGAAAGGTGATTAGAAAGTACAACACGTCGAGGTATTTATGCAATGAGAGTATCAACGGAGGCCTCTGGCCTGGAGAGACTGCCCCGGCGACTGACCTGGCGACCCGGCGCCGGCGACTGACCTGGGGAGGCGGCGTGGTAGACGATGGTTCCCGTGCTGCGCTCCTGCTCCTCAGGAATCACCGTATGACACACAGCCATCATCATCAGGAAGTCCTGCACGGCGTCCGGCGACTTCAGGTCCGGGTCGCGGTCCTGGGGGGAGCGGAGGGGGGGGGGAGAGGTCAGTGAGGTCATCACTAGAGGTCACTGACAAAGGCAGGCTACGGTCAGAAAACGTCTGGCGAAATGGATGTCTTCGGTGAACGCCAATTCACATCAATATGGCTGATATTTCACAGCCAGCCAAATCAAAAACTCAGCCAGGTGGCATGACGATTTAATTGAAAACGTCAATAGCATACTTAAAGCTCATTACCGCCCATCCTTTTATATCTCGCCGCAGACTCGCCTCCCCTTCCAAAGCACACTCCACTCCGCCCCACACCCACCACCACCCCACTCTGTAGGCACAGGCCCACAGAGCCGCGGCGGCGCTGACGCATGACCCACTCAGGGCTGTCCGGTCGACAAACACGGTCAGAGAGGCCACATGGCGCTCGGCGCGACTCGAGTTTCCACTTCAGCGGCAGTGGGCCGGGCCACGGACCCGTGAGAGCCCCGCACCAGACGTGGTGCAGTGGCTGACGGTCCGTCATTAGTCCATCACTTTTAGAGTCGGCTTGAGAACAGTCATACCGACGTTAAAGACAGAGATCCAGTCTGATCATCAGCGTGCATTTTATGTCAAAGTGGTGCTCTGATCTCCAATCATTTCCTGCCGGTTCATATTTCTTTCCTCTCTCACGGGCCCACATCACTCTCCTTCCGACCTATCGCGCGCCATTTTTCGCCATTTGTCATCTCCCGCACAATCACCCGTCCTTCAGATCCTCCGGCTGGGCGAACTCTGGCGTGCCATCCGTCACCCTTTTATCTGGCCTCCCGCCTTCCGTCCGTCCTTTCCGCCGCTCCTACCCTCTCCTCTCCCTCCCACCCTCTCTCCTCCCCCTCCCACCTCTCCGACAATGCGGCTCCCCGGACCACCGCGTCGGTCGGCCGGCCGTCTCCACCGGAGCTCATTCAGCCGACCACCGGGAACAGATTCCCGATCGAACACCACGCTCACCGCCGCGCCGCCCCGCTCAGTCGGAGGTACAGTCGGTGTGTGGGCCGCGGCTATTCACGTACGGTCACCACAGCACAGTGGAACGGCGCCGGCCGCTGGCGACTGTGCCATTCAAAGCGCCGACGACCGGCCGGTCATTCACGAACTGCACAGTAAATGTCAGTCGCCTGGCCGCCGTTGTTTATAAGACGCATCGTTTGGTGCCAGCCGTTTCCGTATACGAATTGACAGCCGGGGCTCTGGCCAAGGCCCTGTCCGGGGGCCCGGCAGGGTTCCGACCAGGCGCTGTCAGGCGAGGTCCCATATGCTTCATTACCAGAAGGTCCCCATCAAGTAGCCGGTGAACGGCGGTTCCAATCCTGCTCCATAATTTCACCGTCAGTTGCCCGGCATGTTATCGAAGACCGATATCGGTTAACCATCGTGAACTATCGGGTATCGATTGAGCATATTAAACCATGTACAGGTCTCGCGGGTTTTAGCGGTAGGTTTTGCACCTAGAAAATTTAGTGTACTTCAGGCTATATCTTCGTCGTCTTAAGCTTTTAAGTGTTGAAGATGCGATCGACTCGTTGGGTAACAAGCCGGCCATGATCGTGTAAAATGGCTTCATCGTAGATCGATTAGTTTCTGAGATATAACCGGAAATGTAAAAGTGCAAAACCTACCGCTTAATCTCGCGAGACCTGTACATCCAGCATAGAACGCACCATGCATTCTCAGTAGCAAACCGACAGTTTCGTTGGCGTTCAGTCCCGGCCACTGCGGCCTCCCATCCTACGTCACCAGCCCCCCCCCCCCCCACTCCGCTCCCCGACCGTTCTCCTCACCTGGAGCGCCTGCCGCAGCTCATCCAGCGAGCTGAACTTGACGCCGGCGATGGTGCACTTTTTGAACTCCATCACGTTCTGTGTGAGCGTGCCTGTTTTGTCGGTGAGCACGTATTTGACCTGCCCGAGCTCCTCGTTGAGGTTGGATGTGCGCGCCATGGCCGGAGTGTCGGTCGGCTCGTGGTACATCTCGTGGTCCATGTTGATGTAGAGCGCCTGGCGGCGGCGGGGTCGGGTCAGTGCGGTACACCTGGCGGGGCGGGATCGGGTCAGCACGGTCACACCGGGCGGCGGACCGCGGCGGCGGCGGGGCTGCGCTTTGATAGCAGTCGATATGCAGAACAGGCCCGAATTGAGTGCCCTCGCGGGGATACAGCAGGCTGGGCACAACATTTGCCGCATAAATGGCTCCACTATGATAATTTGATGTTATTTAGTAGGCTACCTGGCACCCTCCAGTCACATGCTCTGGTCTGCTATCATTAGAGACCAGATATTAGGCTTGTCAAACGGTCAGACCAGTCTGACCCGGCCGGTTAGAGGCCGGCGTTTCCAGCCGCTCCGTCTGATCTGGGCAGCAGGCACAGGCGCGGCGGTGAGAGGGCAGTGAGTGGGTGGGGGCGGGGAGGATCTGGCCACACGTCTGCCCGGGGAGGGTGTGACGTGACTTGAACGGGGAGAGAGCTATCACCATAACACGAGTACACACTACATAACGGCCGGCAACTAGGAGTAAGAACAAGAGCCCACTAACCACACTAGGCAAACCATCACACGAAGAAAATGAAAGCAACAAAAAAGAGGAAACAAACAGAAAATAAACAGGAAATGACTCGTTCAATAAGACAAGAACCTCCACACTTACTAGCGTGTAACGCGTGCGATGAGGATGGCTAGAAGAGCAGTAACAACCGGCGCAATAGCGAGGCGTTTCAGAAAGCAGGCAGCAGTTACAATAAGTCACAATGCGGGCGCAGAGTGCTTAATCTTAGTACATGTGCCTCTGTGGTAAATGAAGTCAGAAATACAAGTCAATAACGTAAAACGATATGCAGATCCGCAAGGGAATCTGCGCTCATTATTCAGTGTATGCTTATGTGAGACAGGCATTACTATGTAGGGTTTGATTGTCATTTAGTATTGTATTTATGCACAAGGTGCAGCCACCAACCTCGCTTTATCCCACTTATACGGCGGCGTGGGTTAACACGCGTGCAGACACCAGGGGCCAATTTAGCCAACCAAAAAACCGAAACCCACACAGGAGCCAGTAAGTCGGAACATGCGAACATCTAGCACAAATAAATACAAACAAGCCAAGCCACTTACAAAACCTCGAAAGCAACTAGCAAGACCTCCACTGCGGAGCAGTAGCTCACTCACCTGAATGAACCTAGCGATCTCGACTGTGACTTGTAACGATATCGGAATCAGATTATTGTATAGAATAATGAACGTCAGCAGGTTGTATCCAAAATTTACCGTAGACATTTCTGAAACAGCAGAAGCGCGCTGGAATATATGACAAAACCAAACAACAACAACAACAACAACCCGTGACGTTCAGACCAGACAAGCCTACGTACAGGACAAGGAAACAGACATTAGCCATGAATATGGCCCAATAAACCTGTATCAACACGGAAGCTCTCCATTACTATCACACAGACAAGGGCACCACCAGACACGAATAGTCCGTGTACCTTTCCGTGGACTCCTTTCTCTAATCACTCTAAGAATGACAGCCCAGACGACGAAAACAACGGGCTTCCATAACAAATACAGAAAATAATTATCCCTTCCATTGGCGCTCCATCCTCAGGTCACATTCAGCCCGGTCCTGTCTTTCGTCTATCCCCCCTCTCCCCACCCTGTCCCGTTCTCCCGCCAATGACCCCCTCAGGCAGCCTCCCCTGGCCACCCCACCCAGTCCCTCCCTGTCCCCGCCGTCCCCTGCGGCAGTGCGTACCGTCGAGTCCCAGGTACCAGTCGGTGGCCTGGTGCGCCTTGGTCCACACCTCGCTGGCCACAGCGCTGATGACACACAGCACCACCAGCAGGCCGAACAGGTAGATGATCTGCGTGTTGGTCGCCTTGTCCATAGTGCTGCGCTTCAGCGGCGCCGCCGAGCTGTTCTTCATCAGCTTGGTCTCGTGACCCGTGTAGACGGCGGCGCCAAACACCCACGTAGTGTTCTTCAGCTTGGCGCCGCGCAGCAGCAGCTGGTCGGGCCCGAGAGGCACCGCGCTGAGAGGGGAGGTCAGGGGAGGTCAGGGGAGGGGACGGGACGCAGCAGCAGCTGGTCGGGCCCGAGAGGCACCGCGCTGAGAGGGGAGGTCAGGGGAGGTCAGGGGAGGGGACGGGACGCAGCAGCAGCTGGTCGGGACCCAGAGGCACCGCGCTGGGGGAGGGGGGAGGTCAGGGAGGTCACGGGAGGGGGACACAGCAGCAGCTGGTCGGGCCCCAGATGCACCGCCCTGCGAGGGGACGTCACGGGAGGTCAGGGGAGGTCAGGGGAGGGGACGGGACGCAGCAGCAGCTGTTCGGGACCCAGAGGCACCGCGCTGGGGGAGGGGGGGGGTGAGGTGAGGGAAGCGCAGAGGTCCAGCGGGCAAAATAGTCTTGCAACGGTTGGTCGGGCCATAGGCCTTTTAGCCAATGACAGATGGAAAAGTGCATTAGAACAGCAGATTTGCATAACAATCAGATTTCAGAGAACAATGCAACTCAAGAGACAGTTGTTTTGCAATATGAACTAGATATTCATTCAAGATGCTGAATATGTTTACCGAGAACATATCACAGCGCAGACGTGCCGCGGAAATTTCGTTTGTAATCTTCTCAAATGGGATCTGTCCGGCGCGGTGACATGTTACCAGCTCTGTGCTCGGCAACAGAGACACCGCGGCGGCCAGTGACCGGCGCCCTCAGTGGCCGCCCGGCCCCGCTCCGCCCACCCCGGACTCTCTCCTCTACTCTGCATCCCGAGCAGCGCCGCCGACACTCACGTTTTGCCCGTCTCCTTGAGTGTGCCGACGAACTCGTAGAGCACCCGGTTGGGCAGTTCGCACTCCACGCTGGCACTGAGCTGGTCGAGGTCTCGCGTGTCGAGCAGGCGCGCCGTCTGCGGAAGGCCCTGGCGGATCTTCAGGTTGGTCTCGCCGTCCAGGTTGGCCGTCTCGATGTAACAGATGCTCTGCGGCTCACTGGCGGGGACAGAGAGACAGTGGTGAGAAGCAGAGCGGCGAGGAACTACAGCAGACAGCTCATGTTGTGCACTGAGCTTAGGCGGTGAATATGCGCACGATTGACGCAGTACGGAATTTTAGCCCCCGAGTTGGAGGCCCCCTCTCCCTGCGGAGGAATAAACCCCCCTCCCCGGCGGGGTCCCCGCCAGAGCCCCACTGACCTGGACGAGAGCAGCACCAGGTCGGCGGGGAAGTACTGGTCGCTGCGCACCTTGCAGATGTTGCCGACCACCACGTCTGACCAGCGCTTCCACTGCCAGTTGTGGTGGTCGAGCACCTCCACCTGCCGGCTGTTGATCTCGTCGTCGGCCCGGTGCCGCTTCTGCGGGCAGCCGAGGGAGAAGGAACGGGTCAGCAGCTAGTCAGCAGGCGCGGAGGGCAGCGAACTGTGCTCTCCCTGACGATGTTTTTTTCGCAACTGTGGTGAATGCACATTTTTAAGCGCCCGACGATGTCTAGACACAATAGAAATACAGATCGGAGATAGATGGAGAAACTGCCGTAATATCACGGTAAATATAGGGACGTATACATAAGTTAAAAACAACAATGGAATGGAACAATATGATCATGGTTATACTTTTCTGTATAACAGCAAAAGCCTGACCCTTCTATGTCAATGCAATCCATTTGGTCAGTGCTATTGCCAATGATGCTCCCAATTCCAGACCATCCCATACACAAGCGCATTACAGCCACCGATAAATGTCACTGGCCGGTGCCACACCCGGCGCTATGGCCCGGCGGCGGGGGTCGACAGCCGTTATAGCTTCCTCTCAGCGGGGCGTCCATCCCCGCCGACCAAACGACCGTGGCCGACACGCACCGGCAGTCGGGGAAATCGATCCGTGTCCAACACACGGCAGAGTCATCGGCGCTGCCGGCCACAGGCACATTTTCCGGATCATTTTCCTCGCACTTCCTGTGCATTATGCAAATGACGATAATCGCAGTACATTGCCGAGTGTACGAGTATGCCGTGCAAATACGGCATGTTTTGGCTATTTCGATCACAATGTGTTTTCACAGTTTTCTTTCCGCTATTTGTCCTGAGAAAGAGCGTGACACTGCCAAGTCGGTCGCTGGACTATGAGCGCCGTGGACCTGGTTAACGCTCAATCTTCAGCTTAGCCCAGAGCATAAAACCGGGTTACACCGTGCAGACACGGGGATATTGCTATCGACCCAAGGCAACCGAAAATAAACACACCCCGACGAAATCTACACCAACAAAAACACAACACCTGTTCTTGCATGTATTGCTCACAGTCACACGTCAGGAAAAGGCTCCGGCTCGAAGCTACGTTAGTCTTCCCTGTACTACCACAAACGAGTTTGAACAATGGAAGCGTTCGAGTAAAATAACAAAGGAGCTCCTTTGAAAAGTCCGGTCGACGGCCGGTGTGTCAAACTCGGCAGGAACTGAACTCTGCCCACCCGGCTGGACGGATCTTCCAGGAGCCCGGAGTCAGGAGTCGGGAGTCCGGAGCCCGAGTCCGGAGTCCGGAGCGTCCGGAGCGGTCCGTAGAGAGGAGGCCGCCCGTCCGGAGACACCGTATGGTATCGACCGGCGGCCGAGCGGACCGGGTGCCGCAGACCGGAGCCGCCGGACCGTCTCCGCTGTAGGACGGGCCGAGAGCGGCCGATATAGACGGATAGATGGACGGGCGGGCCCGGGCCACGGCCCCTCTGACTCACTGGTCAGTCACATGAGAGGCCATCGACCCTCCGCGTGACCCAGTGACATAAAGTAAATGGCTTCCGATAAATGACGGACAATCTGTGGAAGAAGTCCTGAAATGGCGAGAATTTTACCGATCCATCGTCAAACAATATGGTCACTCTGGGAAATGGCTTCCAATTTCCCTAAGCTCGGTTATTTGTCAGCGCTGCAATCAAATGTTCCGTCGTTTCACTTCAAAGTGAAAAATTTCGTCGGTTCAGCTCTGAAGTACTACATTGGCGGAGCAGTCCCTTTGAAGCACAAGCCCGCCGCCCGCCCAGTGCAGTCTGTCTCAGGACCTCACGGTACCCGCTCGGATCGTTCCCGCCTGGTGGCGTGACCTATAGCCGCCACAAAGCCGGCGGTGGCGCGGCGCGGCCGGCGCCGGTCGTTCGGCGGGCCGCGGCTGTATTTCGGGAGCCGGCCGTGAGTGGCGGCGCCGGCCGTATATAACCAGGGCGGGGTCCCGGCGGGTCGGGCCGGTGTGGTCCCAGGTGGGGCGGCGGCGGGGGCGTGGTCCCCGGTCAGACGGCACGGCGGTGCCAGACACTGTTACATCAGCGGTCGGCCCGTCGTCGGCCACCCGGCCGCCGGCCGTCACCCGAATGACCACGCCCAAACCACGGGGAGAGGGAAGGGGTCAACAGAATATGACCACGCCTAGACCACGGGGAGGGGCGGGTCGGCGGCACAGACAATGGGCAGAGGGGTCACCCGTAGACAACAGGGCAGTCCAGGTGATAGACTTTCCCAGACAACATATAGGAGCACCCGCATACAACATAGCAGCCCGAGATATAGTTCTCCGTGACCCGGCCTGCCACCGACCCTCCGTGACCCTTTGGTCAGTCTGCCTCTGACCCGCTGCTGCCGCCGGGTACCGTGCCGTGACCTGGAACAGTTTCCACACCGACCCGACCCGTATTACCGCTCCATTAGGGCGGGCCGGCGACCGACACCGATCTGCTATTGGCCAGTGACGGGGCGCGGCGGCCGGCCGGCACCCGCGGGATGACTCAGACACCCCGGGGACCGGCCGCGCCGGACCGGGCCGGACGGTGGACAGCCGACCACAACGGGACAGAATAATACCCAGTGCGGGCCATTTACTGGTCGGTATGCTCATTGCCCAGAATGCTCGGATTTCTGACGGATTGACAAAACACTTTTTTCTGCTTTGGAAGCACGACGACAAACTGTAAGTTTAGTCTAAAGTGTAATATGTAGTGGTGTGACAAAGGGGAAACCAAAGTAGCTACTGCAAACGTTTAACCGAAACATCAGTATTTTTTTCTTTAGCCCAGTTCCCCCAGGACCGAGGCGAAAAGAATACCTAACACATAAACCCGTCCGTGGGAGTTGACTAGCACTTTGCGTGTAATGACATCACGGCAACCTGCGTACAGTGAACCGCAGACCGAGCACAGTGCCTCGTAACGATTCCCCGCACAAAGACGGGTGGTGTATCGAGTTCCGTTCGCGGAGAGTGATGACGCGTCAAAATGTCCCGGCTGAGGTGAGGCGGAGAATGAGGCGTCATGTCTGGTCTGACGCCACCTTATGACACGGTTCCGTCACTACCCGCTCTCCACCTCCTTCTGCCGACGACCCCGCCCCCCCCCCCCCTGAGGCTATCATCCTCCCGACACTCCGGCCATCATCGGCTCAGCCGGGCTTACGAATATCGCATTCCCCCACATAGCCGGGTCGTATATCCCGGAGCGCCATTATGCGAGCACCACTTGTTGACTTCCCGTTCCTCCTCCTCTCTGTCACTCTACCCCGCCATCCCTCTCCTAGTGGTACCCCTGGCACCGCTGCCAGAACACAGCGCGGCACCGTTAGAACAGATATGGAACACGAACTGCCGGAGCCGGCCGGCACGCCGCGCCAGTTGCAGACCAGCAGATTATGTACCCAGGCACGGTCCCGGGCCGGCGACAGGCCGCTTTCATCCAACCACACTCGACAGACTTTCATCCAGAGACGTACTTTCATCCCGTCACAGGCGTTCATGCCGTCCCAGACTTTCATCCAGTCACGGGCTTTCATCCGGTCACAGCCGACAGACACGTGCACTGTCCGTGATCAGCGGTACAGCGGGGTAACGGCCGGCGGCCCGGTCCCCGGCGCCGGCCACAGAGCAGCACACAGGGCGGCCCTGGCCTGATTCACTGGAATGTAGCCCGACCGCATGACCAGCTATGGGCTAGAACACGGCCTCAACAACACATCAACGGCGGGGCATGCGAACTGGCGCCAGCGCAGCCTCCCACGGCGGGGCATGTGGGGTGGCGTCAGCCAATGTTCCGTGACATGGACCAGTGAGATAGACCAGTTCACGGGGAAGCCAGCAGCCGACGGGGCCTCTGAACATACCACAAACCATGCAAAGACTATCTCGTTGAAAGGAACAAGGCGTTTTAACATCAACATCTCTCACTCCTACAGAGACAACTGAAAGACGTGATGGCTTCGATCTGTTCGTGTCTGCCAACCGGTGTCGTCTTATTTGCCCATCCGTGCCCGTTCAGTAGCGCCCGACAGGTCCGACCACCGCCAGTCCCCCCTCCCGGCGCTCGGTCCGGCGGCACTCACCCAGTCCCCCCTCCCGGCGCTCGGTCCGGCGGCACTCACCCAGTCCCCCCTCCCGGCGCTCGGTCCGGCGGCACTCACCCAGTCCCCCCTCCCGGCGCTCGGTCCGGCGGCACTCACCCAGTCCCCCTCCCGGCGCCCGGTCCGGCGGCACTCACCCAGTCCCCCCTCCCGGCGCCCGGTCCAGTGGCACTCACCCAGTCCCCCTCCCGGTTCGGCGGCACTCACCCAGTCCCCCTCCCGGCGCCCAGTCCCACAGCACTCACCCAGTCCCCCCTCCCGGCGCTCGGTCCGGCGGCACTCGCCCAGTCCCCCTCCCGGTTCGGCGGCACTCACCCAGTCCCCCCTCCCGGCGCTCGGTCCGGCGGCACTCACCCAGTCCCCCCTCCCGGCGCCCAGTCCAGTGGCACTCGCCCAGTCCCCCCTCCCGGTTCGGCGGCACTCACCCAGTCCCCCTCCCGGCAGCACTCACCCAGTCCCCCTCCCGGCGCCCAGTCCCACAGCACTCACCCAGTCCCCCCTCCCGGAGTTCAGTACGACGGCACTCACCCAGTCCCCCTTCCCGGCGCTCGGTCCGGCGGCACTCACCCAGTCCCCCCTCCCGGCGGCACTCACCCAGCCCTCTCCCCCTCCCGGCACTCACCCAGTCCCCCCTCCCGGTCCGGCGGCACTCACCCAGTCCCCCTCCCGGCGGCACTCACCCAGTCCTCTATGAACTCCTTGACGGCCGATATGGTGAGGATGCACACCAGCGGCGTCAGGGTGGTGTACTTTCCCGTCGGAGACACGTCCGGGATTTGCTGCAACAGAGGGGAGGAAAACCGTCAGTAGGGGCCGGATCAGGGAGGGGGGGGGGCGTCTGATGGGGCAGCATGCCGGTCGGGACAGAGGCGAGAGAAGGAAGTTCCGTCCGTCCGTCCGTCCGCTGAGACAGATCTGGGCAGCAGTAATCGGACGGCCGGACGACGGACCCACACCAAGCTGCTGGCGGCGGCCGGACAGAGTCGCTCCACAGGGTTCACAGGGTCCGTCGGGACGGAGCAAAGAATGGGAATCGAAGCAGTACCAGGGAAAATGTGTCAACTGTCAACTGTATTGATCGGTGCCACCTGCATGGAACAGTGTGACGACTTCTTCAACAAACGCGTGTAAAATACATTCGGCTTGGTGCCTGATGTTGGCATAGCGCACTAATTCAGAGGCCAGCCTCGACTACACAGTAAATATTTCAGCACAATGAAAAATTTCAAGCGAATTCGGCAAAACGATGTACAAACATTGACCTGGCACAGAAATACCCCGCCCGCACCATCGGCCTGACGCCTTTCGACCGACGGACAGACGAGCGACCGGCCGCCGCGCCGGAGTGAGCGGAGGGAGCGTTCGATCAGCGACCAGCCGGCGGCTGTCGGCGCCCCAGACGGTACGGTACGGCGGGCCGGGACTCTGCTCCTCAGCGCAGTTCACCCCGCCGAGCGGAGAGGAGAGGAACACCTGCTCCCCGCTGGGAGCGCAATGGCACAGCGAGCTGCCGGCCGGCGCCGGCGTCTAGAGTGGAACTTATTGGAACAATGCAAGATTCAAACACTGAATCATGGAGAACTTTATTGCGACAAAGTCACGGTTGATTATATTTTGCAATTTGCATGTCTTGCAATCCTGCTCAATTCCTGGACGCATCCCCTAGTCCTCGACAGGGAACCCTGTCAAGGCAGCGCACCCGGACCCTGTCCGAGTGGGCGTGACCAGTCCGCTCCGCTCCATGGTTGCTCCATGAGAACTGCCGGCGGCTCGCCATGACCAGGCCACCGTGACTCAGCAGTCGGGACCGTCAACACACGGGGAGCCACACGGGCTGACTAATGCTCCACCCCAACGGAAACCCTCCTAGGCCCGTGACCGATTATACCAGTCCGATTACGTGACTCACATCCGAGACATTCCGAGGCCTCATACCCCGTGTCTGATTCAGAGACGCCCGTAGCTTAGTCCGAGACGCCCGTACCTGAGTCTGAGACGCCCGTATCTGAGCTTTAGAAGCCCGCATCTAATTCAGGGACGCCCGTATCTGAGTTCCGGACGCCAGTATCTGAGCCCGAGATGCCCGTATGTAATTCCGAGACACCCGTGCCTAATTCAGAGACGTCCGTACCTGATTCCGAGACGCCCGAATCTGATTCCTGGACGCCCACCGGCGGCATCCCAGCGATTGGTGGGCCGCCCGCCGGCGCCGCCGCCGCCGCCCCCACCAATCAATAAGAGAGCCACCGGAGGCTAGCCGGCGCCCGGAAGTGGCCGGAAACACGGCCGGGCGCGCACCATACCGGGACCGGCACCGGTACCGCAGGGTGGCGACCTACCGGCGGAGACGGGCCCGCCCGGCCGGGAGCGAGGTCCCGGCGGAGGGCACAGGGCCGGGTACGGTGCGCAGGTAACGTACTCATCATACAGAGGTGATTTGATACATAAACACGCAGTCTGCGACTCAGTCGGGGACCGAGATAAGGTCAAGATAGCATGCCGCCGATTGTCGGGTAATGCCACATCTGTCACCGGATGTAACAACACCACACCATCGAAGAGTCACCAACCACGTTATATCAGTGAGGGTATTCCTTTACTGGGGTCATATTCTAAGGTTGCCCGTCCACTCAGCGTGAATCCCCACATAAGCCCGTCATCATGAGGGTGCCTCAGGAGATTAACCACAACTGCTATTATAGTCTCTCGACTCTAGTCTTCTTCTAGTCAAGCTCTCCTAGTTTCTCGCGCGCATTGGGCGACAGACAGCACTTTATGTCCATCCTACAGACTGAACCCAAGACTGAACCAAAAGTAAACCGACTGAACCAAGATTCTTCAGGAACATTACATATTCTGAAACCCGGAACCGACTATTCGCAGGCGGTATTCCCTGCCAGTTGAATGGAATATTAAACATAAATAACACACGCAGCTCATTTATCCGACCTTATTTCACCGATCCATTTTGATTTCAGAACACCACCTTATGGAGGCAGGTATGAAAAAGGCCGACACCGTCCGCGGCGCAGACGGCTGTGTTCGCCAGCTGATAAATGACGTCATTAGTGCAGAAGCCGGCTGCCGTGGCCGCGGGCACTGCCGCCACGGGGAGATATACTTCAACAACAGTGGAACCGGGTCGGACTGGGACGACTGACGCCCCACTGACCGCAGCCGCCGGCCCCGGCCCAACTCCCAGAGCACCGTTAGCCTGGCAGCGGCTGGCAGCGGCAGCGGCAGCGGCAGCGGCTGGCAGCGGTACCGGTACCGGTCCAACTCCCAGGGCACCGTTAGCCTGGCAGCGGCTGGCAGCGGCAGCGGTACCGGTCGCACGGCGGCAGGAATGTCTCAGCTGCGGAGAACCGCTAATATGGCAAGTGCAACATCGCTTTTGGAATCAGTCATTGAAGCACGCGATCTACACGAATGCTGCTGCGCAGTTCAAACATGCGTGATTACTGTGATTAGACTGGTCAAAAGTCTACTGTCTGCTGCGGATCCACCGACAAGTAGGTACCGCCGACTGCACCTCGCGGCAATGACGGCGGGGCGGAATTTTACCTGAAATGTTTCCTCGTCACCACGGCCGATCTGCAGGATTCCATAGCGCCCGGTCCGGCCCGGCGCGGGCACCACATACCGCCAAAGCCAGCCTCCTTAGACAGCCTGCCGCGCCTGAGACCACGGGATCAGAAAGACGGTCCAACTCCGGGGAAAGTCGCCGGGAAAGATCCGGAAGTCTGCGGCTGAATGGCGGCCGGTGGACGGACGGCCGATCCGTCTGATCTGGGCCCGGCGTCTCACGGTCCGGCGGTGAACGCGGCCTCATGCGGCTCCCCGGCCACGAGGTGGTCTCGGCGAGTTCCAGCGAGTACTGAGCTGCAACGGTACACCGCGATATACTTTACAAATCGCCGGGAATACGGGGCTTGTGGCAGACAATTCAACACCCGACGATAGATAATGAAAAAGTATAGAGAGCGTAGTAAGTATAGAGAACTACATCTGTATCTGTAGGTATAGAGAGCGTGCATGTTTCGATCTGAAGACTGGCATTCAATAATGGACCATAATCACCCGGCATTCCATGCCACGAAAAGACGGCAAACATGAGAATGGTTTCTTGAACTAGTTTGACAATGAATAGAAAAAGGCATCTCGCTCGCTCGAATATATCTCGAGCATGAGTCATTCCCATTTCCCAGGCATTTGACCTGCCCGGAGTCAGCAATGACCCTGCGTATTGCCTCATGACTGTTTCAGTGAAGACGCTGCTACCCATATTCTGCACACAGACACAGATCGCCGGTAAAGGACAAACGGGTCAGTCGGGTGTGCCTGAATGACAGCTTCAGCTTGTTGAGATTCACGATTCTCACCTCGGGAGGGAGCATAAGATGACCTTTGTCCCCGCGTTCACCATGGTAGACGACACGACATCCTGGTATAACGTCAGCCGCCAGTGTCGCTCTCTAGTGCGATGGCGGCTGGCGCAGTGGATATACCGGCCTAGACCACTGCTCCGTTTTCATGTAACTGCTATGTAACACGTGCGACGTGCATTATGCTGGCATGCGATGCCTTTGCAATGCAAAGTCCGGCCGGTCCCGGAGTCCTGGAGCCCCGAGTTATCCGAGTACCGGATGGCTGGGTACAGTCCCCCCCCCCCCCCCCCCGGAGAGGCCACGAGGGAGGGACATGAACAGCACCGGATTGCACGGTATAGAGCTGAGCCGCTAAGTACCGCAGGTGCAGACTGTGTCTCCTCCCCCACCCCACCCCCACACACCTCCCCACCACGCGGCGGTGGGCGGCTGACCGCGGCAGGTGCCGGGAACGGTCGATCGTCCACCTGCGGCCCTCCGTGGGGTATCCACCACCGCGGACATGCCGAACCGTGGGACGCGGGGCGGACACGGCATCTGCTGGGCTGCCGGGCCTGGACACTGGACTGTGGGCAGGCTGGTCTGTGCACTATCCACCGTTCAGTGACAGACGACTCACCACACTGTAACTATATCTGTAACTGCATTTTGCAAAGCACATTCAGGTTACACTGGTTCTTGACGCCGAAAGGGATCGTCATCAGGAGGCCCTCGAACTCCGCGACCCCACGTCTGACGACCCCTCAACCTGCGCCAACGAGCTGCTGCGCCGTGGGCGGGAGCGTCACCTCCCCGGAGGGAAGGTCAGCCCGGCCTCTGGGGTCAACGCGGTAACAATGACCGTGTAGGTGGGGAGTCCCCACACGGGGGGCAGCTGCATCCGACCGTCCAAACACACGTCAGCTCCTCCCCTCCCCCCCCACCTGAGGGTGCAGAGGGTCCGGCCGGTGAGGCCCATCAGACAAACACCAAACCAGTCCCAGGGTCCGCTTCAAAATCCTTGCACTCCCATTGGCCAGTGCAGGGCGTGTGGTCGTTTAAAATCAACAACTGCGGCCATGATTCATGGAACGGCTCGGCGAACACCGCTCCACCAGTGCATGCAACTGCGCGGCAGCTGCAGCGCAGTTACAAACAAAGCACTGCATCTGTAACGATGGGAGTCAACGGCCGGGTTATCGCATCGCGCCGCTGGGCAAATGCAAATACATGATCATGATGATTATTCCCGGCAAGATATGGGGATTGTCACTTCGAACGATGGGCGTTCGGTCGCAGGACGGGAGTCCCCTGAACCTCGCCTCGGGTGGATGTCTGATCGGGACTGAGGCGGCTCGGTGGTCGGTGGCAACGGTCGGTCCGAGCCAGAGTCTGGCTCTGCACCCTACGTCCGCCGGGCTTGCTTGCGGCGGTGCTGCAGCGGCCGCGGAGGCGTCCGGGACCAATTAACCGCGCCGCGCCGGCCGGCTGGTGAGTCGATAGACGCCCCATCATCTCCTCAGTGGGGCACCGAACCGCGCCGGCGAAAAACACCTCCCGACAAACCGTGGGCGCCCCGGCGGAAATCTCACGGCGCGCCGATATATCGACAGCCGGGGGCCATTTCAACAACACAGCTTTTTGTTGTTACGGGAAGGAGCTTCAAAGCAGCCCAATATGCGGTCGTTATCGGTTCTCTCACTAGCAATCTGAAGGGAAATGATTGGGTCAGACAGCAGAGTAGAACAGTTAGGTGAGAAGCAGGACGTAAACAGGGATGGCCTTGAGCCTATCGACACTAAGGTTGTCAGGGAATAAAATATATCGGCTTCTTTATCGTCCAAGCAATATAGTTAGTGGAGGCATTGATAGGTCCTAACTGACAGACAGCATATCCAATAATCTGTGTATTTTCACGCTGCATAGATTTATGACCTCTCACTCGCCAGTATCAGCCTGGAACTTTATAATGATCCAAAAGTCAATAACAAGCTCAATCAAGGACGTATGATGGCATAAATTGAAGTAATTGACGTAGCATAAAACCTACAATAACGGTCAATAAGTGAGAGACCGGGAAACTTTCGGTGTATGAGATGGATAAAACCGGAGCGAGGCGAGGCGGTGGATCGGACGAATCATGTAAAAAAACATTTGCAATTCGTCATTGACGGAAATCACAAACAATACTGGGAAAACATGGAAATTTGCAGTGAACTCAACAAATCACTTAGATGTGAAAGCTGTACTGTGCTACCTTGTGTCAAAAAAACAAAATCAAACAAAAGCTTTAGGACAGACTACACCAGCAGAGAAAACAAAGATTTCAGTTTCTAATTTTGCACGATAATAGCCACCGATCGGATGTTGCCTTATGCCTACCTCTGATGTAATTCCAATAATACAATTTTCTAACATTGTGTTCGATCGATCACAATGAAAGACGTTTATTGTGAACCTATCCATCCCTGTCAGACGTATTTTACCATTCCTCGCTGTGCACCACCAAAACACTGCGGAACTGGCCGAAACTGGCCGAAACTATCCGAAACTGACCGGAACTGACCGGAACTGGCCGAAATTGACCGGAACTATCCGGAACTGGCCGGAAACTATCCGAAACTGAGGGGAACATTCCCTCACTGACCTGCAGCAGCGCGATGAACAGGAAGAAGATGTTCGAGTAGCGCCGGAACTGCTCGAACAGAAACTTGGGCAGGAAGGAGAACACGCTGTACTTGGCCGTGGTGATGGAGTTGGACATGCACTTGTTGGGCGGCTGCTCCTTGTTGATGTAGACGGTGCGCGACTCGGGCACCTCGGGGGCGCCGGTAGCCACCGAGCGCGAGTCCTCATCTGGAGACGGCCGGGGGGGGGGGGGGGGGCGTCACACAGGGTACACGGAGGATACGTAGGTACACAAAGGAGGTAGGTGCTCGTAACATTGTATGGTGGGAAACGGGCGAAACGTGTGGAAAACACAGCACTCAAATACGTAAAAGAATAACACATCAATGTAGGTCTATACGTCTAGTTGACAAAATGCAGCAGGTATGGAGGGTACGGGTGGGGGGGGGGGGGGACTCACGGCTCTCTGCTGGCGTATCAGCGCACTCGTCTGCACTAGTCACCGAAACACTGCGAAAGGACCACACGTGCCGGGCCGTGTCGCGCACACTGTGCAGCAGAGGCGACAGGCACCAGCCAAACAACTGTAACTTGGGCATTTTGGGACACCGAGCGACGGTCCGGAGCAGAGAGCAGGTCAGGTCAGGTCAGGTCACGTTAGATCAGGTCAGGTCAGGTCAGGTCTCGTTAGATCAGGTCGATCGAGCGAGGTTAGGCAATTCTCCTCTCACGATGCTGAAGCTTGCTGCCTTTAAATATACGTCACCAGAGTAAATGGTTATTTTCGCACGATTTTAATGAACTTTATACTCAGCCCAGCAATATGCATAACCAAACAACGGAAAGCAAGCGTCGTTCAGTTCCTGACAGGCCGGATACCAATATGCACGCTCAAGTCACACGGCGGCGGCGCGGCAGGCCCGGGCGCGGGGCTCGGACCGACTGTGCAGCCCCGCCGTCCGCGGTTGGCCGCGGCCCGCCGGCTGACATCAGCCCATGAGACCGCAGATAGCTGCCGGGCGCGAATAAACAGCGGGCCATACCGCCGCGGTCCCAAAGTCGCCCAGTGGGGCGGTGGCGGCCGCCGGAGACGGACGGAGGCCGCCGCCGCTGGGACGAGACCTGGTGGAACGAGCTCCCAGCTGGCACAGACGGGTAAGCAATATTCGCGACAGTCTTAGCGCAGGAGGCGTATCAAAAGGCGAATATATCGGATAGCCCTGCCGGCTAGGTCCGACATTGAGCTCTCTAGGTGTTCCAGTTAGCCGCGCTCAGCGCTGGTGTATTTCGGTCAGACAGTTATGTGTTCCCGCCAGACAGTGGTGTCCCGGTTATACAGGGCATCGTCTAACAGTGCCCTTTCAGAGGGATTCACCAGCGCTCTCTGTGGGTATCCCTGTTAGACAGCGCCGCTCTCCGTGGGTGTCCCTGTTAGACAGCGCCGCTCTCCGTGGGTGTCCCTGTGACTAGACAGCGCCACTCTCTGTGGGTGCCCTCGCTGTTAGACAGCGCCGCTTTCCGTGGGTGTCCCTGTTGGACAGTTCCGCTCTCCTCGGGTGTTCCGAGCAGTAGGTCCGATGCAGAGCTGATGCCGACCGTCCAGTCCGGTCCACTGGCCGCGATAATTGGCTGTCTGCGTCGCGCTGAGCGGGGAGGGGGGGGGGAGGGGACTGAACAGCCGACCGGAGGCGCCCCTGACCGGGACAGGTGGGGGGGGGGGGGGGGGGGGCAGTCGGCCGGGACGGCGCCTCCCAGATAAATCGATGACTCAGTTATGAATGCACCTCTCCGGACCCATCTGACTCGCCACCGGACTCAGAGGCTGCGCACGTAAAGCAAACGAGCCGCCCGTCTCCCAGCAACGCACAACGTTCACTGATTGGCATTCGGCACCAGCTAAAAGTGACGTCATCTGAGGGAAGGAAGACGGAGCGTCCTTCCCCGCCCCGCCATCTTCAGTGGGATCGGCTCAGCAGACCACTACCTACCAAAGCGATAGATACTGACAATCATCGAACATGTTTACCGGGGCGAGTTCTTAACAGAAAGAATCTGAATAGCACTGCAGGATGCCTTATTGATGCCTACAAACTTTAATTTAGCCGCGCCTGGAATCAGAGCTTTTCAAAGGAGGCATTCGTACCCAAAGAATGACGGTGAATAGGCCACAACAAATAGCAACAGGACTGGAGTAATCAATGAATTCCATTGAGGTCAGAATCTGGAACCCTTCCAACAAAGGCCACCAGAGATTCAGTCCAGATGACGGCGTGAGGCCACGGACACGGAGATGGGGAATCGTTAATTTGATACACGGGGTTCCACCACCCGAGCGACGAGCCTGTACGGATCCAAATGGTGAATGTTGAGAGTGCTGGCTGTGTGTTGTGCTATCAACTCTGTTCAACTGCCCACCCACCGTACACGCACCTTTATCATTTGGGGCGTTTTCAGAGGTCGTGCAGACTGCAGCAACCCTCCCATGCACGGCCAGTCACGCACCTGAGATTGGACACGCACGTGCTGACAGCCGCCCGCTGCTGATCGGTCAGTTACCGTGGTGAATGGACGAGGGTAACGAGACACTGACCCCGTCCTGTCTCCCCCACAGTTCACCGTTCATAGCAGCCGGGCCGTGACACCTGCCGGGCTGTCAATGATCAGTGAATAGGTAGAGCGTCGTTCCACGGGAAGGGACGAAGACACTGAATAGGCACTTTATACGGAATCCGTAATGCGGTTGGTTCGCGGGGAGTTTCCCATTGTTCGCAGACTGGGTCGATAAGCAGCAATACCTTGAACCCATGGCGGCGGAGGCTCAATGTCCGACCATTGTGAAACAGACTCCCGCGGCGATGCCACCGACCCGTATCGAATTCCCACCCTGGCACCACTACCAGCGGCGACCACAGACCCATCCCCTACCCGGGCGACCACAGTACCCACCCCAACCCGGCAGTGTGGTGCCTACTACCCCCGTACCCCGCCCACAGCCCGACTGACGGCAGCGCGGCGGCTCACGTCTGGATGTGGAGTCACGTCCGACAGTACAGAGCCGTCGACCTGACAGGTCTGCTAACGGGCCGACGCCGCAGTGACGGGCAGACACGGGCCGCAGTGACGGGCTGACACGGACCGCAGTGACGGGCAGACACGGACCGCAGTGACGGGCTGACACGGACCGCAGTGACGGGCAGACAGACACGGACCGCAGTGACGGGCAGACACGGGCCGGACCGGCGAGCCACCGGCCCGCTAAAACTGCTCTGTGCAGCAGCGTCAACAGAGCCAGCCGATAGGCACGGCAATCCCACTCAACTGGCCCCAATCGGAAAGGTCAACAGCCGGCGGCGCGGTGACCATATGGCGGGCGGGCCGGAGGAGGCCGCGCGGCCCACAGCTCCGGCTCTGGGCCGCCGAGGTCGGGCCGGGTCTCGCAGTGCTGACGCCGGCGGGCGGCCGCCGCTCCGATTGCTGACTGACGACAATCGATGGGGTCGTGACTGGGAGGGGGAGGGGGAGAGAAACCGTGAAGCGGTGGCCGGGGTGGCGCCGCCCCTACTAACCTTTCAGCACCGTGCCAACGTTGCTCAGTTCAATGTGTTCGGACCGCATTGTGGAGCAACTGCCAGTGTCTGATCCGGTCCGACGGACGGGTCGGACGGCGCGCGGCGGCCGGTCACTGCTCGGCGCTCGGGCCGGGGAACGGGAGTGGCCGGACGCACAGACAGACGGACGTCACATTCGGGCCGCGGAGTCCTAGCAGCTTACAGCGGACGGCGGCGTCACTCCGTCACCGAGACGCCTCTCGCACTCGGCCGGCGCACCCACCCACGCACACGGACACGCACGCGCGCCGGCCGCGCACCACAGCACACTGCCGCCGCCGGCGCCCGCGGGCCGGCCGGCGGCGCGCGCACCGACTGTCGCATCGACCGCCTGTTGCCCCAGAGACATGGGCGGTGCCCCTCCCCGGCCCACGGGCGCCCCACCACCGACGACCGGCGCCGCCGTCATTACCGCCTAATACCGGCGGTTCGCCCAGCTCACAGCCGAACCAAAACTCGACGGCTCCTCAACATCAATAATCACAAGTCATATGGCTGAACGCAGACACATGTTTGCTAGTGAAAACGGTGACAATGCAGGTTAACCCGTTAAGGGCATGAACATATGGAATGCTGAAATGGTGACACCGTTGGATTTTCACGCATCGCGTGAAAGCGTGTCGCGTGACTCGTTGTTGTTGCAGTTCGGCGTCATTATATAAACAGTTCGTTGTTGTTGCAGCTCGGCGTCATTATATAAACAGTTCAGGCCCAAATGTCTTCCACGTAAATCAGTTGTTAAGATCAACAATCTCAACCTTACATGCATCGTTCTAATGGAAATGACTCGGTGGTCTCTTCGCTTAGTGCTTGTCTCAATAAACTACAACAGTGAATTACAATGAGGAACTTCTTGCATAACTGCAGTTGAGCTTATCGCAAGAACACGGCTATGCACCACACAGCAAATGCCTCCCATATGCAATGCAATGCTGAGTTACACTGTATGCCACTGTATGCCCAATGTGAGCAAGGCACATCAAAGGAACAAAATAGTTTGGGCATCTCCAGGGATAAGACCATCTGATATATACTAGGATAGCCAGATTCCCAAAAATCATTCCTCAATAAATGTAACTTGCTATCTACAACATGCTAGATCATTCACTTACTTTGCAGAGGTCCTTTGCTGAAGAACTGCTTCATTTTGTTTTAGAACATGTACTTATTGACTTATATTTCAGACATAACTGTTATTCAATCTTAGCATGTCAGCACAATTCAAACTCAGCCTGCAAATGAATATCAATATCAATATACTGATGTTAGTCCCATTCACCCAAAAACTTTGCAAGGATGGAAAATGTAAATAAGTGCTAGGTGGTGTTTTATATCATAGGATATAGGCATATTCCACCCATAGCTTGCAACATTAAACTTGAATAACACATAACATTTAGGGTGTCCTAAGGGCTGTGTCGGTGCCACACAATGTGAAGTCAAGGTTCACCTCAAATAAACCTGTGGAGATTAGAAATGACACTGTGGAGATTGAGACTCAAATAAACCTGTGAAGATTAGAAATGACACTTATCAAAACCTGTGGACTGAAAACAATGTGTACTGGGTCAGGGATAGTCAATGCCTGTGCTCTGGGCCTGAAATCCCTTTCCATTATTCAAAAAATCTTGAGCTGCACAGCCAAAAGATACACTTCAATGTAGCTCGATATATCTCAATGAAATCAATATTCCAATAAAATAGCAGCCAAAATACTAATACACTCCTAGTAAACCTCCTCGAATAAAGTTTCAACCTTTTTCCACTACAATAAACACAAAATTTTGCGCCACAATTGTCTAAGCAGGCAGGCCGTTTGTTTACGTTTCGTGTTCTCCAGCTACGATGAAGCGCATTCATGCTAGCGCAAGCGAAAATCATCACAAGATAGAAATTTGACAAAAGATCGCAGGATCTTATACGGCCTTGCGCGGGAACGGCCTTGGCGCGGGATCGATTTGGAATGAAGCGGATGGAGGGATGGAGTTATTTCTTAGTAGTTCGCTCTCTTTTAGTAAATTCCAAGACTGTAAGTTCTATTAGATTCGCCGATGGTCGGTACACCCAAGATTACTTTACTTTATACCAATACCAATGTCAATATTGGGGGTACACCCCCAATATTGACTTAAAATGGGGAAAATGGAAACGCACGTGCCACGCGCAAAAGAATTCTGAGCGAGTAGCGACCGGTACCAGCAGCTAGATCGCCTTCGAAAGTCTATACCCTGAAATTTTTACAAAAATCGTTGCAGTAGTTTGGGCAGGTAGCAAGGACGTGCCCCAATCCGCGGCCAAGTATGGAAAACATAGCCCGGTGAACGACTGCTCCGGTTGTTTTTCAATAGAAAAACACAATTCTAACGAATAGTGTTTGTCTTTTCAAACAACCTGCGGTTATTTTGTATAAACGCGTTGAATATAATAATAAGAGATATTAACCTTACTCTCATATTAGCCAAAAGATATAAAATTTCAAAAAGACAAAATACAGTTTCGGGAGCTTTCGGCTTTGCGCCTTTATCAACCGTTATCAAACGGTTGATAAAGGCGCAAAGCCGAAAGCTCCCGAAACTGTATTTTGTCTTTTTGAAATTTTATATCTTTTGGCTAATATGAGAGTAAGGTTAATATCTCTTATTATATTCATAATGTCTCTCAAAACTGTGCTAAAAACCATTCAAGATAATAAACGCGTTGAAACCGAATTTCGGCTAAGCGTGGGCCGCGGCTAGCTCACGGTCATAGATACTTTACGGGATACTAGGCTAGTTCCATATATGCTCTCAGCTCAGCCATACCCGCCATACCTTCGGTCGGCTTTACATTGAAATTTGGAGTCTGCCTTGCCATTTGTTATTTACCGGGGTTACATGAGCAAGTAAATGCGTATCAGGAACGGATTTTCCTATTCGCTCACCATTGTAGCCCGTTTGTAATGCGGGCTGCTCATGTAACCCCGAGCATTGATTACCCACTGCTCATCTAGCCGAGCACAATATCCGTCAATCTAGCAGCAGAGCAGCAGCTTAATAATCGTGAATCTGCTGCTGGAAGTCAGACATTCGGCTGGGCCGAATATGCTGCTTTGGCAGCGGATTCGCCGAATGTCTGTCTACGCGCCGAGAATGCCGAAATAGCAATGGAACTAGCTGGGACTAATCGGACTAATCGGACGGGCCAAAGATCTTGACACTCTAGGCCGTTCACCCATCTGATTCGCAGGACGGCATTTTTTTTTTTTTGACACAACACTAGGCGCTCCGGTATGGGCGCCCTTCACCTCAATGACACGAACTTCTAAGATTATTCGTCTTCGTCATTACAGAATCAACTGGTCAAAAATGAAAAACATTCAGACATCTAAGTGGGCAGCCACTAAGTGGGCGATGGTCAATTTGATAAAGAATACTAGTAATTTTCCGCGCGAATAATGCAAAATGGATTAATCGGTGGTTTGGAGAAACTACACTGATTCAATACAGGTCTACCCCATGTACGGCAGTCCCAGCTGCTGACGTCACATGGTGTCGGCGGAGCAACTACGAGTATATACGTAAGCTGCACCATCTGAACACAAGGAGTCACACCGCTCCTACGACCCGTTTACTGCCGAGGCCGCTTACCATTAACACCTCTGTATTTAGCACTAACTGTGACACATCCTGTAAACAAATGACTGCAGATCATGTCCATAGCGCTAATTTGCAGCGCAAAAGTCTGCCTCTCCGTATTCAGGGGTTGACGTCAAACCATCACCCACAGCATATGCCGATGACAACACGTTATGACGAATACACGACGATGAGTGATACAGCTCCACACCTTCACAGGTGACAATATTAGCAGGATAGCCACCCACGACTCAGTATCTGTACTTGGTCGAGTAGTCTTTGGGGGAGACCACGAGACCGCGGCCCTTGCGCGCGCCGCGGTACACCGTTTCCACAATGTCGATCATCTCCTGCTTGTCCTCCATCGCCCAGTTAATCTTGTTGTTGTTTCCCGTGCCCAGATCGATCATAATGTGCTTATTGCGGAAGAAAAACATCACTGTGCACGGGTCGTACAGTTCGTACATCTTATTGAAGTCGGGCACCTTGGTAATGTCCACCAGGTACACCACGGCAAAGTTTTTCACCTTTTCGGCGATGTTGTAGAGCGTCTCGTCCATCTTCATGCACTGCGGGTCCCAGTCGTGGCCGAAGCGGATGACGACGACGCGGTCCTCCTCGGAGAGGATGGCCTGGTCCACCTGCCAGCCGTTGTGGAGGTGCTGCAGCATGTACGACATGGTGGCACGGTGGGGGAGACGACCGATGTAAACTGCGCAGACCGGCGGACTGCCTCGTACCTGATGGCACACAAACAGGCCAGCCAGTCAGGGCATCTGTGTCACCTGTGTGCTGTTTGAGCATTCTGAGTTATTGGTCAAACATTTAAATCAAATATTATAGATTGCTTTATCATCTCAATTATAGCTGGAGCAGTGAACTAGAACTTGCAATGACATAGGTACATACCTACCAACAACCGCATACAGACAGCAATCAGCATCAGAAATGGCTAGCCTGTTTCAGTTTCATAGAAATAGAGGGCAGAGAAATATTCTGAGTTTTTGCTCCAGAGCAATGTGAGCTATCAGCACAAAAAAGTGCAGCTGGTGATTCACCAGTGGTGAATGTATTTTTTTTCTTTTAGGGAGCATGAGGTGACTGGTGAGCTTTTCAGATTTTGATAGAAAATTGATTATTCTAGTTTTTATGCATCAAAAAATTAATAGGTAGGCCATACATATTCTTCATAAGTTGAGTACTGAACTTAAGAAGAATGGGAGAATTGAGCTTGACATATTTTTGATAATGGATTTTAGAATCCTGACTGGTGCATTAACAGCTTGTTATCTTGACTGCCATGTTTTGTAGACAAAAGCTGGCTTGTAAGTTGTAGCTGTCTCATTTGATAGTTCCTCTATGGCACGCAAGCTTTCATTTAGAAAATATGACGTTATTGACATGACAGCATCTGCATGTTTGTGAGCAATAGTGGCAAATACTCATTTTCATACTACATCAGTCGGGCACACTGTGGTATTTCCGATCCATTTATGGAAACGTTTCCATTTTTGGAACAATGTTCCAAAAATGGATACGCCGTTTCCAAAAATAGAAACGGTCTGTTCCATAAATGGAGACGCTGTGTGCATCTCCACCTTTAAAGTAAACTGGGCATTGATTGGTGCAATTTGGCATGTGCAGGATGCCACCAATCGACAGCCAGCATTCTAGTTTATGTTCCTGTTTTCCGACTTTCCGATCAGAAAACCGAAAATTGACGAACGAGGCGATGATTATAGCATGTTGACGTGATGAAAAAATCACACGTTTTTCTAATCGAAAAATAATAACATTTATGAATGTTTTGAACAAAAAAAGACTACTGAAAGATTGGCCCATTGATTGGAACAACCACATCACCGGGAACTTCAGTTTTTCATTCTTTTTCACGCTGCATTTTCCGGTGCACCAGCGGCCTGGTGGTCGTCAATCTGTGATTAAATCGCATGAATGTTGTTGTAAAGCCCTATTTGGAGACTTAAGTGGGCATTTTATAATATTTCAAATGTGCTGAATATAATCGTAGGCTCGGATCATCATAAATCTCCGTGCAAATACGTAAAAAGCAGGATGGAAATAAGGTCTGCACCGTCGTCACACCAAATACCGTCGTATTCTGACGATGAATTTAATCATTCTAGCTGATGTGTAACATTGATATTAATTTTATATATTGAAATGATATCTACGCTTTATGTATTGCCCACTTTGGACCACATTTGTCCAGTAATTTCTGGGAAATCTTAGTTGTAGTTGACTTTTGAATGTGCTAAGGTTGCGGTGAGTAATGTATTAGTATCGAACCCGACGTCCAAGGTAACTGCCGAGAGCCGAGATGTTGAACCAGTCCCAAAACATCAAAATTTTAGTTGCATGTGAATTTTAAAAACATTTGAGCTAAGTTTGCACACATTTGAACTTCAGCGTTTCCATTTTTGGAACATCGGCGTTTCCATTTTTAGAAACTAAGTCTCCATAAATGGATACGATTCAGGAGCATTTTAAATTGGTGAATTTGAATGCATATGACAGCTTTCCATGCGAGAAAACAAGTGCTTTTGATGTATCAGCGCTTGTTTTAAGTGAAACAGCGGTTATACATCAAATCCAGCCACCCTAGGCAAGAAAATTTGTGCGGAGATGTTGGCGTTTCTATTTATGGAACGAGCGTTTCCATTTTTGGAACAGAAGAGTAGTCAAAATTGGAAACGTTTCCAATAATAGAAACGTCTCCATAAATGAATCGGAGATACCACAGTGCGCCCGACTGACATAGAAGTCCAGCATCATCAAAATTATGGGGAAACACAAACTGTGAATGTCCACACATGCACATGCACTCGCGGATGCGCACACAAACACACATGTCAACAGTTCAAACAAACAGCATTAGTCCATATGTCAATATCAATATCATAAATGGCAAACACAAAATCTTCCTCCGTCTGCGGCGGCTCTGCCTCCCTCTAATGTCTAGGTCAGTTCTTTAAACCTTAATGTTATAGGTACTTTTAAAACTAAAAGTGCCCCACAAGCCACACAAATTTTTACTTTACATCACATCATCTGCAAATTACAATAACAGAAAATGCAATAACAGTCCATATATTAACGACATATTTTCTAAATGAAAGCTTGCGTGCCGGAAAATACGGACGATATTCTTACCACAACAAAGAATGATGATTATTACAGAATAGCCAAGATTTCCAGAAATCAATACTTAAGTGAAACGAATAAATTATTTATTATCATATCAACTCACCCAATAATCCAATAACAATAAACGCAATAAACCAACAAATATGTGCGCAGAGCGCTGTTCGGCAGCCGGCTATTTTGTGTGCAGGGTATGACGTATTTCGCGAGCCGACGTCACAGGCGGTGACGTCGGCTCGCGCGCGAGCCGAGCGCCAACGACAAACTAACGGGAACCCTCGGACACCCTCGGGGCATAAACTGCGGAGTAGCATATTGAGCGAGTATTATAAGGAAAATTCACATATTTTCGTTTCTAAAATGATAATCAGGGTGTCTCTTACCTTTTTACATATCATTTAGGCTTACCTAACACTTCAATTGCCAAATATCTGCAATTTATTCAAGCGAAGGTATTTTCAGTAAATATCAATGGTATAGACCGAAATCTTTTGAATAAAAACTCCAACCAACAGAAATAAAAATAACTTAATTTATTCCAACCAATTCCTCCAAATAAACAACATAAAAACTCACTTTTACACACATCATTCATAATAAAGCATACTAACACGCCGCTTTTGACAATTGCGGCGTCGAGTGGCGCGCTGCTAGCGCTCTTTTTCGATCGCAGAGACCAGGGGGGTGACACGGCTATTCGCGCAATGTATTCATTTATGGGCCGCGCGGGGCCTCGCGATGACGCGGCTGGAGGCAACTGCTCAGCGCGCTAGGATACTTCTGGCGGGGCCGGGCGCTGAACGGTGTGCAATGAATGGGTTATGGTCGGGCAGACAGAGATGAGGCATTGAATTTGAATTGACATCAGCAATCGGGTGGGGAAGGAGAACGTTTCTAATCGAGCTTGGGATGGGGAAAGCCGAAAATATCACGATCGGCTCATAGCTCCGACAGGGCCGGGTGCTGTACCATGTGTAGTATATTTAGGAGGGCAGACAGAGATGAGTTATTGGATTTAAATTCACCTTACCATCGGTTTCTGGTGAGGTTTGAAGACGTCTTTAGTCAAGCTCGGAGTGGGGCAACGGCCACTGGCGGATCCAGGGGAAGGCATTTGGGGCAAATGTCTTCCCCAACAACCAGGGCAGCGCCCGAAATCGATTTTCGAGAATAAATGAAAACTTCACAACTTTTCTGAGGAAATGTTGGTTAATCACACCGCACAGCAGTGCGCAAGGAATCGAAATCCGAGTTTTTTAAATTAATTCCGAGAAACCTTTTTGGGGTAAGCGGGCCCCCGCAGTGTCCAATACCGCTTCCTGGATCCGCCAGCAGGGCCTCGTCTAACATGTTAACTGGGGGGGCAATTGCCTCCCCAGTCGAGCGGATTGCCCCCCCAGTGGCCAACATTTGCCCCCCCAGTCAAAACGTGAACTTCTCACAAAATTACCTTCTCTGCAATGCGTTTTTGTTAGGAGTCTTATACGGATTTAACGAGAAACGTTAAATTATTTGTTCAAAAACTGTTCATGCTCCATGACTACGGGAAAAGCCAGAGTTTTGTGATTTATAGACCTGAGTACTCACTGTGATTCTGTGATTTTGCTACTGTGATTCAAGTAGCAAATTGTCAATTGGCAGCTGCCAGTGACCCAACTCGTGTTTGTGCCCCGCCCCCCCCCCCCTCCCACTCAATCAAACGCCCACGGCCCAACACGGATAAATATGCTTAGCACTGTCTGGTGGGGCAATGTGAGGGGGTAACACATTAATCTTAACTCTCGCCCGTATAAGTGTTTTTCCAGCCGCGAACGTATGGGGGGGGCGTTGGACCTTGCCCCTTGCCGTTTCGCCCCTGATCGAGCTAGAGCTTCGCGGAGAAAACCACCGTGTTGCCCGTCACGAGAGGAAGCCGATGCTACCTCATTTTAAGGTCCTAAGTCATCGGTTGACCTTCCAGGTCAGGTCAATGACCCAAATGTCGGGAAACTCGCGGGACCTGTTACAACGTCGTAAAGGGTAGCTGTTATGTTTTTTTCGGGGTGCTGATCACGAATATCATGTTAGTTATGATCATAGATAATGTCTTCATGCATTTAGGCCAGGTCGGGTCAGGTCAGGTCAAGTCAACCAGTAAGGGTTTTGCCGGGTATTCGTAGTAGGTGGCAACCGCCTCTGGCTCCGACAGCTTCGCAACATGTTACGAAGGCACCAAAACTACTTCGTAAATGTTCAAATGGTTGCTAAATTCGAATTCAGCTCCAAAAACTGGCCTAGAATCATGTAAAACTCGAAAAAGTGAACCGAAGTCATCAAAAGCCAATGACCTGACCTGACCTCGCGGTGACCTTGACGCCTACCCTAATGCATGGGAGCAATATCATATTCCATGTTTGAACGCTTGAAACCACGAAAAGACTGCAAACGCGCGTCTAATGCGAGCCGACATACGCCGAATCGCGATTCCGGCCAAATATGGTCTCGAAAAGAAGTCACAGGTCAAAGGTCATTACGGTCAGGGTCATGACATTTTCAGAGTAGGTGTAAAATTGACTAACGCGAGGGTACTGAATGTGTCGTCGCGGTCAGCCGCTTTTACGTGAGTTATTCGTGAAAAACCGGGGGGGGGTCCGTTCGACCCCCCCCCCCCCTATACGAGCATGGCTCTTTTTTGTTTTTTTTTTGTTTTTTTTTTGTTAAAAAAAATAATGGTCTCAGGGCTGTGACGAAAAACAAGTGGCCTAAATCCGGTGAGAAAACAGGATTTGGGGGTACCCTAGGTTTGGGTCCTTCAGTCTCTGCCCCCCCAGTGAAAATTCCTTAGACGAGGCCCTGTCCGCCAGTTGTGAATAAGTCACGGTCGATACCGAGCTTCGGCGGGACCAGGCGCTGTACACGTTGTTCTTTGAATGAAGAGGTGGACAGACACCTAGCCCCACATCTTACTGCTATGCCCGTGCTTCTGTGGGTGAAGCACTAAAGCATCACGGAATCCCAGAGGACCTGCGAGTCGACGAGGTGGCCGCTTTGGCCGCCGGGTACTGCAGCTCCCTGGAGTTGCCTGGGACCGATGGCAAAACAACAGCTCCGGCGGTGCCCCTATGGGCCGTAGTAATTAGTGAATTCCCGTAATGTAGAGATCATATCCTCAATGATCTCCATTACCATTTTATATTCCTAAACAATATGACAGACCAATTATGCTTGCCTACGTTCAGGCATTACCTCTGATGGTCATACGCCCAGTACAACATGTGTTGTCTGTCAAACAACAATCGACGACGGGATCCCTTCTCATCATCTCTTAAGCCATCGGTTGTCAATTCACCCACCCCGTTTCCCTAAAAATAGACGGTCAGATTCGGCCTGGGTCCTTACGACCCCTCTAAATTCGCCAGAGACGGGATCGGATCGCCGTTATTGCACCCGTCTTAGTGTCTTAAATACTATGACAGCTTCGACCACGGACGTCGGACGGGGTGACCATTCCACGAATGTACGCACCATCCAGGCCTAGGATGCATCGAGGTTTAAAAGGATGCAGTCTGTAGATCAATCAACAAACAATGGTGGTATGCAACCACTTTAAAATATGTCCCTGGCTCCCGCAACGTTCCAACGCCCCTCCGTTATGCATTCGCCCTATGTGTCCGCTGAGCCGGCTTGCCTCCAATGACGTCATCGGCCGGCCGGCGGCGTTCAAGGTCAAACGGCTGGTGTCCTTACCTGGAGTTCTATAGCCTTGGCAGAGACCCTGCACGCGCGCGAGCACACTACGTCACGTCCGGGGGGCACAGGTACATGAAAAATCGCAGTGACGTAACACTTTTCTCGCTTCTCATTGGTCAATAGCCCGTTGCCGGGGTAACGTGCACGTATGTGAGCGCGGGCAAGAGTACTAGCCGGCCGCCGATCAGGGCTCTGCATTAATCCTCAAGGGTCTTCTTATCCACATAAATTTATCTCCGTAATGCCTCAGGTGACAGTAAATGACGTCATGAAAGTATTATTGTTCGTCATTTAACTGTTCGAACCATTGCTAAATCAGCACTTTTAGATTAAATTAGCTAATCTAGCTTTATCTAAGTACTTTGAAGCTGTTATACATAATGTTTCAAGAGAAAACGGAGGGGCAAACGCTTTTTTATTTCAAGCCTGCATTGGTCTTATGACGTGGGTTAAGCAAAAAAGGACTGACACATTTTTGAGTGAATGCTTTTCTAAATGTCGCTCCTGCGTCATCAGAGATGCTATTGTTTTCTGTTCATTAGCTGAAACGTCAGCGAAAGTATTCTGACAAATGATTGGTGCGCTCAAGTAATTCGCCTGTTTTCACTGGCGATGCAAATAACGACGATCGCAGTACTGGGCTGAACACTAGCAATATGAAAACATCTTTTCCTGCGGTCTCCTTTTGGCGCACCCTGCCTATAGCCGTTTTTATGATTATATTGATATAGGGGGAAATTTAGTATTTATTGCACGTGAGGTGTGAAGGCGGCCAAGTAATAACCATAAAATCTTTTCCATTGTTATCGGGAACTGGTTGAAATGGCAGCCAGCATTACCAGTGCCGCCAGGCTCGGTGGCACCAGGATAATTTCCAAGCTTTTGAAAATTGGTTCTCAGGACCTGCCTTTGCTATCAAAACAACTCCACACTTCCCTAGTTTACAATGGTAAGTACCAAGTTATGATTTAATATGACATATTTTTTGAGTTTTTAAAGATTTAACCCTCGCCGGCCGAGGGGGGTGGGTGCCGCCCCCATAGGGTTTTTTCGTGATAGCTCCAACCACGCTGGCGATAGAGAGCAGAAACCTGGGCGCTGTTTGGTGGCTGGCTAGCGCGCTAGCCCGCGCACACACATGTGCACATGATATCGGTAACCCTGGCATCACCGGTAGTGTTTTCGTTCAAGGTTAAGGTTTCCTGTATTAGGCCGCCGTGCCAGGCTGAAGCATGCTGTGACATCACTGAGTAAGAGAAGACGTACCACGCTATCAGTATCGACTGAGACTCAGATAGACTCAGGCAGACTCAAACTGACTCGACCGATTCAGATCGACTCAGACCAACTCAGAACGACTCAAACTGACTCAGACCGACTCACCGACTTAAATCTATTCTGATCGACTCGAACAGACTCAGAACAACTCAGGCAGACTCAAACCGACTCAGGCAGACTCAAGCTCACTCGACCAACCCAAACCGATTCAGATTGACTCAGACCGACTCAAACTAACTCAAACCGACTCAACCGACTCAAATTGATTCCAATCGACTCAGACAGACTCAGAACGACTCAGATAGACTCAGGCAGACTCAAACCGACTCAGGCAGACTCAGACCGATTCAGATCGACTCACACTGACTCAGACCAACTCAACCGACTCAGATCGATTCCGATCAACTCAGACAGACTCAGACCGACTCAATCCGACTCAGGCAGACTCAAACTGACTCGACCGACTCAAACCGATTCAGATCGATTCAGACTGACTCAGATAGACTCAGAACGACTCAAAATGGCTCAGATCGACTCAACCGACTCAAATCGATTCCGATCGACTCAGACAGACTCGGAACGATTCAAACAGACTCAGGCAGACTCAAACGGACTCGACTGACTCAAACCGATTCAGATCGACTCAGACTGACTCAGCTAGACTCAGAACGACTCAAACTGACTCAGACCGAATCAACCGACTCAGATCGATTCCGATCGACTCAGACAGACTCAGGCAGACTCAAACCGACTCGACTGACTCAAACCGATTTAGACCGACTCAGACAGACCCATCGGTTTGACCTGAATCATCAGACCTGAATCGGTTTGAGTCGGTCGAGTCAGTTTGAGTGTGGTCGGTTTGAGTCTGTCTGAGGCTGTCTGAGTCGTTCTTAGTTTGTCTGAGTCGATTGGAATCGATTTGAGTCAGTTTGAGTCGGTCTGAGTCAGTTTGAGTCGTTCTGAGTCTATCTGAGTCGATCTGAATCGGTCGAAGTCTGCCTGAGTCGGTTTGAGTCTGCCTGAGCCGGTTTGAGTCTGCCTGAGTCTGTCTGAGTCGTTCTGAGTCTGTCTGAGCCGGTTTGAGTCTGCCTGAGCCGTTCTGAGTCTGTCTGAGTCGTTCGGAATCGATTTGAGTCGGTTGAGTTGGTCTGAGTCAGAGTGAGTCGTTCTGAGTCTATCTGAGTCGGTCTGAGTCTATCTGCCCATGTGAAAAAATCTTGCAAGATTGTCTTGCACGATTTGTACAAGACAAAGTATGCAAGAAATTGGGACATATTCTTGCATGATCTTATAAGATTATCATGCATGATTCTTGCAAGTCTTGTACCAGATTCTTGCCAGATTCCTGCAAGTCCTGTACCAGATCCTTGTAAGTCTTGTACCAGATTCTTGCAACTCTTGTACAAGACTCTTGCAAGTCATGTACAAGACTCTTGCAAGTCTTGTACAAGACTCTTGCAAGTCTTGTACAAGACTCTTGCAAGTCTTGTACAAGACTCTTGCAAGTCTTGTACAAGACTCTTGCAAGTCTTGTACAAGACTCTTGCAAGTCTTATGGAAGATTCTTGCATGTCTTGTACAGGGCTCTTGCAAGAGTCTTGTAAGACTCTTACATGTACTGTATAAGAATCTTGCAAGAGTCTTGTACAAGACTCTTGCATGTCTTGTACCAGACTCTGGCAAACCTTTTACAAGACCTGCTAAGACTCTGGCAAGTCTTGAGCAAGACTTGCAAGTTTTATCAAAGACTTGCAAGCCTTGCACAAGACTTCCGAATTCCAGACACATCGCCCTAAGATATCGTTTCAATTGTAACCGCAGCTTGGTTTGAAATAGACAAACAATATTCGTTAGAATTGTGTATTGACTATTGATGTCGAGACCCATGCATACGAAATCCATGAAGTGAAATGAAATGATGTTCCAGCGTAAACGTTAAAATCAATATTCACAAAAATGCCAATCTGAGAACACATATTAACAGCCCTTTACTTTTCGAGTCACCCACACGTCACAGTCACATCACCTCATCACACGTTGACGTAACGTCACGTCACAATTATCGTCGAGGCCGCCGTTTCGTCTGCATCCAGCCACTCGAACACAGGAGGATGTCGTTCGTGTGCCTTGCATCGCATATTATTGGTGAGCCGAGATTTTTGATTGCTGAAATGAAATGACATCCATATAATCAGGTATCCGCCATCCGGAGCCAGATGTGAAAAGGTGAGCCAGTATGTATCAGACAAAAAGTAGAATTGATGGGACTTTGAGTTAATTCAGTGAGCAATCGTTTTCGGTTAAAGATATCAGCATATTTAGCTATCATACTCACATACGTACTATCCTATACATACACTCACCTGGGTCCAGTTTCGCCGCATGACGCTACCGTCAGCACTATTCCCTGTGTGGCAGGCGAAAAATGTCAGGTGATCAACTATTTTCAAGTGAACGTTTCGGCGCCGGTTTTGGTCTATGATGATGCAAATATTGAGATCAATTTTCTTATTGTTACACGGCATGGCAGAAACTTACCTACCTGCAGGTCGGAAGAGGAGACGGCAGACGGCACCGCACCGCACACACTCAACACTTCCGTCCTCACATCGCGAGCGGGCAGTGAATGGGACGCCGACGGATGGAATGCGGCGGAGGGGGACGCGGAGTTTCCCCTCCTCGCCTCAGGCGGGGTCCGCCGTCCGTCCCCGGACGGCAGACCCCGCCTGAGGCGAAGAGCCGCCGCCGAAGTCGCCCGCCGCCGACCGTACAATCTCAAAAACGGAAAAGTGGTCGCTAAATTCCAGTCGGTACAGTCTCTAGAACACATGTGCGTCGCTTACAACTGTTCTCCGTGGGGCGTGTGGAGCAAATGATCGCATTTGATTGAGAATTCAGCGAGCCCTTTAATTAGGCGAAAAACATTACTTAAAGGTGTCAAGTGATTAGCGGGAGATGCCTTGGATCAGCACATTCTTGTAAGATTCTTCAATCTTACCATAATCAGCATTCTTGCAAGAACCTGCCTATGCCAGATTCTTATAAGATCTGTATGATAATGGGCAATCTTGTACAAGATCTGCTCAATCTTACCAGAATCAGCATTCTTGCAAGAATCTGCCTATACCAGATTCTTATAAGATCTGTATGATGTTGGGTAATCTTGTACAAGATCTGCTAAGTCTTACAAGACTGTCTTCAGAATCTTATAAGATCATGCAAGATAGTGAAGATTCTGGTAAAATCTTGTACGACTTTTTTACATGGGTGAGTCGGTCTGAGTCTGCCTGAGTCGGTTTGAGTCTGCCTGAGTCTGTCTGAGTCCATAGGCGGCGGAACGGGGAGGGCACCAGGGCACCGTGCCCCCCTTTGATTACGAGCGAGCGAGCGCAGCGAGCGAAGTGAGTCTTTTCAATATAACGGAAAAATCTCAGTATGAGCGGCCCGGCCCGGCCCGGCCCGGCCCGGCCCGGCCCGGCCCGGCCTGTAACGCTTTTGAGAGGCTTATATCTCAGCAACCGCTGGACCGATTGGCCTGCGGTCTTTTTTGCTGGGTAGCCCCATCCCTTCTACCCCGTAATTGACTACTTTTGATACATCTCAGTGACCGTCGTGGCACGTGCCACGTGAAAAGTCAAGGGTGTTCAAGCTGTTTTGCAAAAGTAGTGATTTTGATAGGCTCATATCTCAGCAGCCGCTTGGACGATTGACTTGCGGTAATTTTTATAGGGCAGCTGCATCCTTTCTACCAAAAATAGGATACTCTCGATGCATGTGGGTCACCCCCAGTGCACGTGCAAAATACAACAATAAGAGGTGTCAAATTTGTTCCCATTTTAATAACTCGGTAATTACTGGGGCGATTTCGCTGAAACTTGGCATACAGGTAGGCACCCACCAGGCAATGCATTCCCATGTGTTGCGGTTAAGGTGCTACTGCACGTGCGCACGTGCAGGGGGCGTTTCCAGATCTCGAGAACGGCTGGGCCGATTGCGCTCAAAATTGGTACACGGTTGGAGACCGGTTAGTAGGGTGCCGTGCAAAAGTCAGTTTGGACCCCGTTTGCACGTGCGCACGTGCAGAATGCCGCTTCCAGATCTCAGGAACGGCTGGGCCGATTGCGTTCAAATTTGGTACACCGCTAGCGACCGGTTAGAAGGGTGCTTTGCGCAAGCCCGTTGGAAGTACCCTCTCGCCCTTCCGCACGTGCAGGGCTCACTATCTCGCTCGCTCGTTCTTCGCCCAAAAGGCGTTATACTGGTTTCAGCATTTTAACATTAGCCCTATGGGCGTTGCATGGAAAGAATGGGACCAAAAGTCGGCAGTGCCCCCCTTAATTAAAGGTGTTCCGCCGCTACTGTCTGAGTCGATCGGAACGATTTGAGTCGGTTGAGTCGTTCTGGGTCAGTTTGAGTCGTTCTGAGTCTATCTGAGTCGGTCTGAGTCGATCTGAATCGGTCTGAGTCTGCCTGAGTCTGTCTGAGTCGATCGGAATCGATTTGAGTCGGTTGAGTCGGTCTGAATTAGTTTGAGTTAGATCTGAGTCGATCTGAATCGGTTTCAGTCGGTCGAGTCAGTTTGAGTCTGCCAGAGTCGGTTTGAGTCTGCCTGAGTCGTTCTTTACTTTATCTTCTCTTACCCAGTGACGTCATAGCATGCTTCGGCCTGGCACGGCGGCCTAATACAGGAAACCTTTACCTTTGACGAAAACGCTACCGGTGACGCCAGGGTTACCGATACCCGTGCACATTGCCCCGGCAACGGGCTATTCACTAATGAGAAGCGCGCTACGGGGGGCACAGGTATATGAAAAATCGCAGTGACGTTGCACTTTCCTCACTTCTCATTGGTCAATATCCCGTTGTCGGGGCAACCAGCATGTATGTGAGCGCCTGCAAGAGTACTAGCCGGCTGTCGATAAGGGCCCTGGGGCTCTGACCTGACCGCAACCCGGGGTCAATACCCTAAGGTGACCCAAACAAAAAGTATGTCATTCGATGCGTCTGTGCAAGGCGAACACGATGCTGCCAAATGGCGGCTCTGCGGCCGTTTTTTGCGAAGTTATTCACCGAAAACGGAACTGGACCTTGGAACACTTGACCTGACCTCAGAGGTCACCGGTTGACACAGGACCTTAAAATCGGGTATTACCGAGTCTTGTAACAGCGCACACGCTCGTTTTTTCCGCGACGCGCTAGCTCCACCAGGGGCGAAATGGCGAGGGGGTCGTACCCCCCCCCCCGGCGGCGCCCGGCCCGGCCGGCGCGTATGTAGAAAACCAATAGGTCCGGCGAGGGTTAAATGAGAATCAATGTCCCAAAATTTGTCTATTTGGGTGGGAAACGACATCCAAATGAAATTCATTTTCCACTCTCACCACCATTTTTAAGAACAATTTTCCACTCCCAAGTCCCAACCAAGAAAACATAGATTTTTTACCTATAGAAAGACAGTTGTGTGGATGCCCAGTTAGCATCAAACATTCTACACCCTAGAATAAAATGCATGCTTTTTGTCATTTCTCACTCCTTTTTGATCTAATCGAATCAGCAGTTTTCCACTCTCTCCCCTCTTTTTGGTGGGTAATTTTCCCCTCTGACACCCAAGACAAAACTCAATTTTGGGACACTGATGAGAATGGAAGTTATCCCTCTGCTTTGCTTCAGATTTTAGCTACTTTGCATGAGAACTCCATGTCATAGTCTTATTTTGATTTGTTTTCTTTGCATATCATTCAAGAGGTTGGACTTATATTGTATTGTATTGTATTGTATTGAACAATCATGAATGATCCACATTCTCAAAGTGCGTGGCGATTACTGCTCAGAATCCGTATTCGCGGTTATTAGTCTAAACATTCACAGCATTCACACATTCACTCAAGTCAAAACACGGACAGAGACATGCTTGCATTGGAGCATTTCTATAAGGTGATGCATCATTTTCATTCATTCCTAGTTTGCGCCACACAACATTGGCAAGACGTACAAGTGCAGTGTTTGATGTGTTTCACCTATGTCCAGTGGCCGGCATCCCAATCAAGATGCCGTCCCTCTCACCGACCATGTCGGAGGGCACCATCGTCAAATGGCTGAAGCAGGAGGGCGATACTGTTGAGCCCGGTGACATCATCTGCGATATCCAGACCGACAAGGCAGTTGTCTCCTTCGAGGTCGAGGAGGAGGGAATCCTTGCCAAAATTCTGGTACGTAACACTGAGGTGATGATGTCGAATGCTTACAGTGCTAAAGGCAGCATAAAATGGCATGGTATGACTATAACAGTTTTGAGCGGAGTAATGTGAATTCAGGCTATATTTCATTCAGTTCCAATGAAGTAGTCTGAATTTATCTTAATTCAACATAATTTGTATGAGAAACCATATGACAAGCTAGACGTTGATGTATGTGATCTATGAGATGCTCTATAAAAACAAGGCATTTGTGAGTTTAACCGGCCAGTGACTCATGCTCAGCTTTGTTTGTTTGTATTTTCTCCATAGCCATCGATGGACGGCCGCTCGTTCCGAGTGTGTCCATTTGTGGCAGCTCGGCCGTCTGTGTGTGTTTCAGCTGAAGGAGGACTCGAAGGACGTCCCGGTCGGCAGGATGATCGCCGTCATGGTCGACCCTGGCGAGGACTGGAAGGCCGTCGAGGTGCCGGCAGAGGCCGAAGGTCAGGCCTCCTCTCCGGCCAGATATTGCTGGACTGTGACGCGGCGACTGTGACGGCCATTCCTCCTGTTGTGTCGGCAGGAAAAAAATGTTTCAGACGGTGCACTTTACTGAACCATTATTTCACTTTTGTCGGAAAGTCGATAGATGATGTTCGATCCCGAAATTGAAGTAACGTTCTGCAGTGGCAGCTTATTGACGATCTCTGGAACTGATCGAAGGACGAGTGTACGTACCCTCGACCCTGACCTCTGACCTGCTGCCGTGGTGTGTCCCACAGCGCCCCCGGCTCCCGCGGCCGCCGCGCCGCCCCCGACTCCGACTCCGGCTCCGGCGGCCCCTGCCCCGGAGCCGGCCGCCAAGAAGGAGTTCTCCGGCCTGCGACACGCCGGCGCGGCCCCCACGTGAGTAGCGCCACGTGCTGACTGGGAAGAATCCGAAACTCGTACCGTGAGAATTTTCCGCGTGGTTACCTCAGCGGGATAGATTACTGAACTGTGTTATGTTGGATAATTTTAAGCCAAAACTAATTTGTTTGTTCTTAAAATCCAATGTTTGTTTTGACTGGATTTCGATCCATCATCATCATCATCATCATCATGTATTCATATGTTCATCCACATTCATCATGGCTTTTCAGAACAAGAGTCAAATATTACATACACACAATACAGGTTAAGAGGTAAACATGCGATAAAAAGACATAGATACACTAAAATATTGGTAAAATCCGATGTCCGGTGTCCTACTCGGCTATCCGCTATGGCGAGGACATGGCGAGCCATTTCCTCGCCCTTCTGCGACACGCCGTCGCAGAGCGCGCCTCTCTCACTTCAGCCGGCGCCCGGTTCCACAGAGCGGGCGAACGATAAAAGAAGGACCTTCTTGCATGCTCACTGCGCGAAGGTCCTTCGCTTCCGCTTACTTATTTCCATTTAGGCTCTTATTTTTAGTTTTTATCTTACGTAAGTACGATAAAACCAAAATAGTAAAAAAGGTAAAACAGTTTTATTGTAGATAACTAAGTAAGTGCGTAAGCACCATTTTGTGATTGTGACCGTGGGTCCGGCAGCAGGTTCGGGTTCTCGCCCTGTGTGCTCTGTACCGTCCCCATCCCAGTGTTCCCCAGGATCCGTAAATTACCGGTGCTGGGTCCGTGCCGTCCGACTTCCCCTTGTCCCGGTGTGCGTTGTACCGACCCCGTCCCTGCCCAGGACGGTGGGCCCGGCCGTGCGGACCCTGCTGGAGCTGTACGACATTGACGCCGCCAACGTCACGGCCACCGGACGGCACGGCCTCCTCAAGAGCGACGTGCTCGCCTACATCACGCAGCACAAGCTGTCGCCGCAGCCGCCCACCCCCGGTGAGCGGCGCGCTGTCCCCGTCCCCCGGGAGGGGGAGGGGGGGTCACATACTGGGCAGATCAGATCAGTAGATCAGTAGGAGCACTGGGCAGATCAGACGGGTTCATGGTGTGGTGTAGTTTTGTTGTCTACGGTTGTTAATTGGTCAAGCCTCTGTTGTGTACAAATACACCTAGGTATTTCTGGTTAGGTCACATTCCAGCTAAGTCATTGTTTTGGTATAATCAGGCTGTTGAGGTGGGATGTTTGGCACGGACGTCCCCCGCTGAGGAGACCTGGAGGTCTGCGGGCTGCCGCATACGGTCTGTACTAACCGACTGTATGTTCTGTCCTCTCTGTGTTCCCAGTTCCGGCCCCGGGCAGCGTCTCCCGACCGGCCGCCCCCGCCTCCGCCCCCGCCCCGGCCGGGGACGCCGCCTACATCGACATACCGCTGTCCAGCATGCGCAAAACCATCGCCAAGCGTCTGACCCAGTCCAAGGTAGGGGGCGCTGGCCACGTGTCGCTGCTGCGTCACGCACGGGAGTTAAGTAGGGCGGAGCTTTCACTGTTCGGCCGGCCAGTGTTTGCTTACCTGCTTTGTGGTTACTTAGTGCACGCTGTATTCAGCCTTTAGAGGCCACTCATTTTGTGTGTACTGATCAGGACGTGGTCTGTTTGGTTAGGCTGTGTTAAACCAGCAAAAGTTGCGTGTATTAAGTGCTCATGAATGTCCAGATGAGGTATCCCACTGCATTAATTGGTTACGCACCCCCCCCCCCCCCCCGGCGCCGCTGGCTGACGGTCTCTGACGGTCCGCCCCCCCCCCCCCCCCAGACGGAGATCCCGCACGCCTACATGCAGTCGGAGGCGCGATTCGACCGTCTGCTGGCGCTGCGCAAAGAGCTGAAGGCGGAGGGCGTGCAGGCGTCGCTCAACGACTACATCATCAAGGCGGTGGCGCTGTGCCTGCGCCTGCAGCCGCAGCTCAACTGCGTCTGGAGCGGGGACCAGGTGGGAGACGCGGGGACCAGGTGGGAGACGTGGGGAGAGACATAGAGACGAGGTGGGAGACGTGGGCAGACCAGGTGGGAGACGTGGGGAGAGACATAGAGACGAGGTGGGAGACGCGGGGAGAGACATAGAGACGAGGTGGGAGACCAGGGGGACCAGGTGGGAGACGTGGGGAGAGACATAGAGACGAGGTGGGAGACGCGGGGACGAGGTGGGAGACGTGGGGACTGGGGAGAGACAGACCAGGCGGGAGGCCGGGGGAGACACGGGATGGCTTGGAGGACACGTAAAGATGAGGCGGGTACATAGGTTGGGACTGAAGATGACTGGGGGACACGGGGTAGAGGCAAGGGAGACTCGGTTCTGTCGTTCTGCAATCTGCAGATTCGTCTCTCTCGTTCCTACTTTCTTATCTCTTACCTTCTCTGTCGTCTTGTCATGTCCGCAGCTGCAGCGGCCCGACTCTGTTGACATCTCCGTCACGGTGGCCACGGGCGCCCTCTGACCTCTCTGTGACCTCTGCTGACCTCTCTGTGACCTCTCCTGACCTGTGACCCCGCAGCTGCAGCGGCCCGACTCTGTTGACATCTCCGTCGCCGTGGCCACTGACGCCGGCCTCATCACGCCGATCGTGGTGGACGCGGCCGGCAGCTCGGTGTCGGCCATCAGCGGACAGGTGCAGGACCTGGCCGCCCGCGCCCGGCTGGGCAAGCTGAAACCGCACGAGTTCATGGGCGGATCGTTCACGTGAGTGACGGGAGTCGGGGTAACGGGTGACTGTTCGGTGTTTCGGCAGGGATTTTGGTGAAGTATAGAATAAAATGACGACAATGAATTAAAATCAATACTTTCTCTTGTCCGATTGTACGCGTCATTCTGATGACATGGTGTTGCTTTGAGTGTGGTATTTATTTGTGCTATCCTTGATATTCAGTTTTGCCATTTTTAGTTCGCTAATCATATGCCAGGGGATATAACATGAAGCATACCGTACAAATGTAAATTTGATAGTTATTTATGTATTATCCTTCTAGCGATCTGTTGCTCGACTTTCACCGATATCAGTAATCGATTTTAACCCCCGCCTGCTATGTGTGACCGCCCTGTCTCGCCTCCATCTCGCAGGATCTCCAATCTGGGCATGTTCGGCATTGGCGAGTTCAGTGCAATTATCAACCCGCCGCAGTGCGGCATCCTGGCTGTCGGCGGCGGGCGCAGTCAGCTCGGTGGGTGCCGGCTCCGTGTAATGCTGACCCCACACTGACTGACCCCTGACCTCTTACCCGGAACACTTGCCAGCGACAGCCCTGACATATGGATAAATTCTCATAACCGACCATGACCGACATCGGACCCGTCAGACTATGATCCCGCCACCAGTTTTTCTATTAATATGGCTACGACTATGACCGCACTTATAACTCCTGACCGCTCCGCTAGCGGTTCATCTGACCGCTGACTGTTCCTCGGCTCCAGCTGACCTCTGCTGCTCCCTCTCCGGCAGCGGCGGACGGCGGCTCGGAGACCTGGCTCACCTCCACCTTATCGTACGACGCGCGCGCCGTGTCGGAGCCAGAGGCGGCTGCCTTCATGGAGACGCTGGCCCACCTGCTGACCAACCCGGACCTGCTGGTCACGGACGCGCGCCGCGAGCTCCAGCAGCTCGGCTGAGCTGGGGCAGCTCGCAGCAGGAGCTCGCAATGTCCCAAAATTTGTCTATTTGGGTGGGAAACGACATCCAAATGAAATTCATTTTCCACTCTCACCACCATTTTTAAGAACAATTTTCCACTCCCAAGTCCCAACCAAGAAAACATCTATTTTTTACCCATAGAAAGACAGTTGTGTGGATGCCCAGTCAGCATCAAACATTCTACACCCTAGAATAAAATGCATGCTTTTTGTCATTTCTCACTCCTTTTGGATCTAATCGAATCAGCAGTTTTCCACTCTCTCCCCTCTTTTTGGTGGGTAATTTTCCCCTCTGACACCCAAGACAAAACTCAATTTTGGGACACTGGGAGCTCGGCTGAGCTGGGGCGGCTCGCAGCAGCAGCTCGGCTGGGTTAGGGGCAGCTCGGCTGAGTCGTGGGTGCTAGGGTGGATTTACGGGGATGCCATACGGTGCGCTATGAAGCAGTTGGTGCTCCGCAGTGACCGAAACGCAGTAACCAGGGCCGGCCGGTGTGGGTCAGATCTGTCAGCATTATCAGGCCGGTATGGGTCAGGTGTTCAGGATTATCAGGCCGGTATGGGTCAGGTGTTCAGGATTGTCAGGCCGGTGCGAGTCAGGTCTATCAGGAATGTCGGGCCGGTATGGGTCAGATTTACCGGGCTCGTCAGGCCGGTGCGAGTCGCTACAGTCAGGTATGTCAGCTGTGTGGCCGAGTGTTGTGACAATAACGGAAGAGGTGGCGGTCGGACTGATAAGGCGGACGTCTGTCGTGTCGTACGGTGCAATCTGAGTGAGGCAGTGCTGCGGTGGTGCCAGCTCCCGGGAGGGACGCGCCGTGCCGTTGAACGGACGGCTCCGGCCGCCGGGCGCCGGCACACACTGATAAAGGCGTGAAGGCAATGACAGCATTGCGTATACGAGTATGTGTGCCGGACATAGGCATAGGGCGCATAGGCAATCTTTGAACAATGTGCTGAGAACATTTGAGTGCTGTCTGAGGTGAAATAGATCAGCAATATGTAAAATGCGTTTAGTTCTTTTATTTATAGAAATTTTGTGTTTTCTCTGTTTGAGTTAATGTTTTTGTCTGTCCGATTATTTTCATTACGTTAGTGCGCGCCTAAAGGTCGCCCCATCGCTCACACCCTGACAGCGTCAATCACCGCCCGTCCAGGAACCAGTGCGATGGTCTGCCGTCACAGACCCTGTGTCAGCCAATCCGCGGGTCATGCGCTCCGCCCGTGTCCGGCTGCCGCCGCCGCCGCCGCCCTGCTGAGAAAGGTCAGTCGACCGGTCGGCCGTCCGACCCCCCTCCCCAGTCGCCGCATCTGTCAGTCAGCGGCACAGGCAACGGTAGCCGAGAGGCCACACAATACAGCAGCGGTCATTGCAACATAGGTACTGATGATGCTGACATGTGTCAACCGCTGTGGACGGGCGGACGGCATTGTATTTATTATCTTGCGTACTGATGACAAATTATCTGAAATTGACTGATATTTTACAAAACTGTTAGCCACTTATCACACTCTCATTCCGGGTCGAGTCATTCGCTGGATCAGGAAACAGTCACGGTTGCTGAGATTAGCCTTTTCCTTACGGCCTTCCCCCAACCCACCTTGGAGCTCCTTCCATCCGCCCCCTCCTGTTATCACTCTCCCGTCCCCTTCCCCTTGGTCTTGGTCTCCCGGAGCCCGCAGTGGGCCTTCTGCAGCAGGCTCTGCCGCATGCCGTCAATCCACAGCATGGCGATCCACCTTGGCAGCGAGAAGCTGGTCTGCTGCCACGCCTCCATGGCCGCCTGGATCTGCACGCGCATCTGGAAGTCCTCCAGCGAGGTGGTCACGCCCGGCTGTCGGGCGGCGAAGTTGGCGTACACGGTCCAGGCGGGTCGCAGCTGGGCGCCGCTGACCGAGTAGCAGCGCGGCGTGTGCCGGCTCACGGCGGCCGCCACGCGCGCCAGCTGCGACCCGCTGGCCGCCGCCGACAGCGGCCGCAGCGCCGCGCTCAGGTCGGCCTCCACCAGTCGGCGCAGCTGGTCGGCCGAGTTCAGCGGCCGCTCGGCGCCGCGCCGCAGCAGACTCAGCACGGACAGACGGAACGCGTCCCTCAGCGTGATGCCGGCGAGCGGGCCGCGCCGCGACAGGCGGCTCACCAGCTCGGGCAGCGCGCGCTCCATCAGGCCGCAGTGGGCCGGGTGGCGCGAGCAGAAGCGGCCCTGGCGCCAGGCGGGGCTCTGCTGCGGCTGGGCCGGCTCGGCGCGCACGGACGCGCGCAGCGCCCACACTGCGAGCACCAGAGCGACGGCGCGCTGCATGGCCGCGGCGGCGGGCGGTAACAGACTGCGGCGGCGGCGGGCGGTAACAGACTGCGGCGGCGGCCGGAGCTGACAGACGGACGGACGGACGGTGACGGACGGTGACAGACAGACAGGGAGCTGTGTCGGCTCAGCTGCCCGTCACTGACCGCGCCGCCTCGGCCGGACTCTGGGACGGGCGACGTCCGTCATCCCGCCGCCGCCAGCGGGCAGCCGAGTGACGCCGCAGGTCAACGATAAACAAACGTCATTGTAATTCTTTTGCTACCGGATATTCGGCTAACCATGACCTTTGCGAGAAATGATTCATCGGCAACGTTGCATGCCATTGTTATAAGTAGCGCACTACAGCGCCTCATATTCGCCTAGCGGGAGCCGTCTACTCCGCGCTTCTCAACCTGACCGCTAGATGGCAGTAAGTATAACCTGAGAAAGCGAGTAGTGTGGAAAGTGCTTACCTTAGTGTGATTACTACTTATTTAGTGTGGCTGGAATGTACTGGGCGTTTGGAGTGGTGCAAAACAACTGGTCGTCTATCACCAGCATGGAACTAGTCAGGCTAGACGAGAAAATGGCATCGACAAGCGTCTTCGAAAAGTAAGGGATTGGGGACAGGGTTACAGTCTTGGCGCGCACAATTGATGCGTGGCGCGGTGTTTCAGTTTTCACTGCCATTCTTCAGTGCATGCCCATTGTAATGCCAGGCTGAGCTGATAATTTGTTTATATTTCGCTCGACAAATAGTGAGGTGATGCGATAATGTTTTGGCAACCTCATCTTAGCCCGCGGCCGCGCGGGCGCCTCGTTTGGCCCGTTTGGGGGCCTCCGGACTTTCCGCCCCACGCTGGAGGGGGGGGGGAGGGTCTGAACTCTAAACGCCCTTTGCAGCTTCTTTCCTGGCCCCTGGGCCAAGCAGCGACAAGGAATGAGCAGCTTTGAAGTCGCTAGAAATAAATAATCATAATGGCTCACAAGGTCGGTACATATAAATGTCTGCTTCGGCCATATTTGGTCAGTCCTCAGGTTAATCAAAGGTCAGGTCAACGGGGGCAGGGGAGGGCTATGGTCTCGATTGATTGTGTTTCGTCCGTCAAGAGTAAGACGGGTCGAGTGATTTGTGATCTCACCTCGAAAGGTGAAACAAGGAAGTCGGCCTTAGGGCAGGGGCGGATCCAGGATTTCTAGTTACAGGGTGGGGGCAGTCAACACAGGGGCGGCACATTTTCCGCCTACGGGCGCGGCATTCACTTCAGCACGGGGGCGGCACTTCGACTTGAGGGGGCGGCACTTTGACTTCAGGGAGCAGCCCTAATTTGAGGGTACCCGCGCCGCGCGCGCTGGCGGGGCGCGTTTTTATGCCCCCTCAGGTTTTTCGCGAATATCTAAAAAAGAACGGCTGCCTTGCGTTTTTGGTAGGGTGAATAGGTCAAAAACGCCCCCATTAAGCGCGAAACCTTCTGACACTCAACCCAACACAGATTACTCAAACCTTTGGGCACCATCATGTAGCTCATTCTTTTTACTACGCTTTGAGACCAAGAAAAGACACCTGCGTGTGGTATTTAACTCTCCAAAAAGGTTTTCGCGTACCCTTACAAAAGGGCGTTTTGCCCCACACCCTGGGTAATACGCCCACACCCATGTGCAAAGCGCCCCCACCCCATCCATCAACAGAAAATGACGAACATGGCAGAACTTGACGTCATTCTGACGTCATTTGTGGTCAACCTATCATAGCTTTTGGAATAAAATTTTGTTGCAATGTGTAAAATGGATGCCCGGAGGAGTCCTGAAAGTTTGATGACGATACCTGCAGTCGTTTAGGATATATCAGCAAAAAAGGACACGGAGAGGCCTTTTCGGCACCCACCTACAAGGCGCTACCCTGCACTCTCACCACCGTGCAAAACGCCCCCCTTTCAGAAAACTGGGGGCGTCTTGCCCCATGCATCGAGTAGGCGTCTTTCCCCATCCGCTCCATTTACGGTCAACAAAATATTGACAAAAAACGCGCCACTAACGCCGCAGCATAATAAATTCAACAGAATGACAATAAAACACAGTTTTTAGTGATGTGCACAATAGCAAGTTTTGTGATATAAAGAGGGCATCAAAATATTAGGAATCTTCTGTAAAAACAACAAAAACAACACCCAAAACCAACATCAGCACCTATCCCACGCTGCTCCTCAAGACGCTGCAGAACCGGAAATCGAGACCTACGTAAACAAGCAGCTGACTGTTCTGAAAGACAGTATAAAACACCTATCCGTCGATAAGAAATACGATTTTTTTAGGGGAGGCGTTTAACCCAGGAGTGCGTTTTCCCCACAGTTACCCTACCTACCTACACCATCTTTTCCGCACATGTGAAAATTTCCGACTCTGGTCGTTCAAGGTCAGGTCACCAGGTCACGTCAAGTGACCTTACATCAGAAAAAGTTCAAAGGCTCGCTGTAGCTAGGTACACCGACTGTGCGATCGCTTTGAAACTTTCAGCGATTGATAAGAGTAACGGCAGGTAGGTATGCATAAAATTTATATCTCGAAATTTTAATATCTGTGCCCTGAAGCCAGGTCAATTTCCAGGTCTCTTCATTATTCATAAGTCAATGGGAGAAAATTGAAATGCGCCTCTTTTGGACGAATATCGTCTAAACGCTCTTGAACATCGGTTTTAGGTAAACACTGAACACACTGAAGTTGCATCGGCATGATCCCTCTGACTGCCCCTGAGGTTATCTCAGGTCATGAAAGGTTGCCAACAGTTTTTGTTTTATAACGTGACTATAACTTTTGATAGAGACGTGCTAAAGCGGTGAAAACACTTCAGATGTGTTCAGCTCGACGATATGGATCGAATGATGTGCCGCATGGCCCTTTCCGGCCATGACCTTGACCTGAGGTAAAGCTTTTGAAGTGACCTAAGGTCAACTTATAGCTGACTCGACGCGCCTCGACGAGACGAACAGGATGCTGGCAAAAGTACCTAATGTCTTGGCCTTCTTGAGTCAAAAATTATTACCGAAAAACATTTTTTGTAAAAAGGCTATTTATGGAGTTTTTCCCTCTGGAGGCTAAACCGGTGACCTGAGGTCAAATCTGAGACCATCACTCAGAAAGGTCTGTAAAAGGGCTATTGAATCGCTTTTCCGAAACGCTGTAGATATATTGGTTCCCGAGTTAAGGCCTGGCTACACTATGCGTTTTCTGCGTGCGTTTTTGCAGGTTTGCGTGTTTTGCGTGATATCGTTCCAGGAAAAAAGTTATAAACAATATAATTTTTACTTTGGTTATATACAAAAGCTAATATAACTCTTATGTAACTAAAATTTAAGGTGAAAAACATCACAAAAACGTAATATCGTTCTTTTTTCTAGAACGATATCACGCAAAACACGCAAACACGCAAAAAACGCACGAAGAAAACGCATAGTGTAGCCAGGCCTTTATGCGTTGGGTGTTTCGAAAAATGATGAAATTGACAAAATTTGACCTTTGATGACCTCTGGAGTCTAGTGACCTGACCTTTGACTCGATCTAAAAGCTGTCTTAAGGATTTCACGAAAAACTCAGACCACCAGCACGGCGCGGGTTAAATGTACAGGGTGTCCCAAAAATAATATCATGCCTTTCCAGCGTCAATTGCATAAAAATTGAACAAACATGAGAGATGCGCTTTTCTTACATATGTATCACACCTTCTCCCT